ATATCACTTGATTTTATTGATTTTATTGAATGTTATTTATTTTAGTTTCAAATCACATGTCTATTGTTTATATTGTCATTTCAAATGTTTGTGCCCTTCTCGGCCCTTAATTGGAATAAAATATTCTTCTTTTTCATCTTCTTCTTCAGTCTGTAAATTAGTCTGGTCTTATTCATGTTATTTGTGATATTTAGTTATGTAATTATTTGGTAGTTTCATCTGATGTCAGTAAGTATCAGATCTAGTCTTCTCCTATCTTAGCTACATTGTATATATATATAGTGGTGTCAGGCCTGAAGATATGAGATGTCTACATCGATCTACATAGAAGTAATAAATAAATATTTTATCTTTTCTCTTGTTCTTTAAAGAGCAATTAGTTTTGATAAAACAGAGAATAGTGTCATTATCTCAAACTTTCCAGATGCACTAATGCTCTCACAAGATGTTTTATAAGTTATGGATTTGGAAGAAATGTTAATTGCGTCTATTTTTCTGTCATCAAATTGATATTATATCACTGCTTTTGTGTATCTTGTCTTTTTCTGGTTTATTTGCCAAAACCTGAACTTTTTGCTGACAAATGATAAAACTTCTATGTAAATGTTGATATCTCTGCATGTAATAGTAATTTATTTTTGTTATCAGCTAGGAAATCTGATAATGTTCATCTTCTATTGTTAGCATAAAAGTTGTGATGAAATATAAGTTAACTGAAGTGTAACCCTCATCTTGACTACATCATATCACTTGATAACAATCTTAATACAATTGATAAAGAACTTAGCTTGTTAAGAAAACATACATGTACATATATGAGGGCTTCATTTCTTTATTGTTTAAAGGCTATTTTTCTGTAATCACTATTTATTTTGCCCATTATTCTCTATTCTTCATAATAATGTCCCCACCGTCACCAGAGGGTGGATTAAGTGTTACCCTTGTCCGTCCTTACGTTCGTATGTACGTCCAGGCCAAAAATCAGTTTTTTACCACACAAACCATATTGAGTACGAATTTTGGTGGCATCACTTTTACCGTTCTTAAGTTATGCCCCTTTGTAACGTTATACATGTATGCAAGCGGGGGCACCATCTGTGTCCCATGAACACATTCTCCATTTATTTTTGACTATCTTTCTCAGTATTTTTATTTTTTTAGCCATTTATTCTGCACTCTTTGCCAGTTATTCTCCATTCTGTAAACCCCATCCAGACCCTCATATAAGAAGGGTATCTTGTTCATTGTTATACATGTGTTATAGCAGTTATTTGATCATAATGTACTATAGTAAGGGTTGTGATATAATTGCCATTGAGACAACTTTCTACCATCAATGACCATTGAAAAAAGAGCATTGATGTAAAAGGGGGTTTATATAGCAGGATTTTGTTAAGCATCACCTGACATATTTGACATACATGTATGACAAATAATACTTTGTAAATAGCTTACATGTAAGATTACAGTCATGACAATGTAAGAAATCAGCATTGTTGAAACAATTATTTCCTATTTAAAGTCCTGCATGAAACATGTGAAGCCACAGTAAATAAAAGAGGGTGTGGATGGGGTTTACAGAATAGAGAATAATGGGCAATAAAATATAAAGAATAGAGAAAAATGGACCAAAAAAAAAAAAGAATAGAGAATAATGAATTGCTAAAATATAAAGAATAGAGAATATTGCCCTAAAAAATTAAAGAATACAGAAATGAAGGACCCCCCATCCAGACACTCATGAAAAATGTGAAACTAAGTAAATAAAAAGATGAACACAACCTAATCATCATTGTTAACAGAATGTTGTGTCATCAACAACATTGTAACATTTGTCAGAAACATATCAAAATTATGATCATATCTTTACCATATCTATCAAGTTAAATAAAGTTTTAAAAATATAATTTGAAATTTGATACATTGATTATTCTCCTATTCCGATCTTGTTTATAAATATTCAATCATAACTCTTTGACATTTTGTATTAATATCAACATTAAGACAAATAAAAACTAAATTATTGATTTGAAAGTGGAGTAGTAATTAGTGATTAAGCTTTTAGGTGTATGAACATGATTAATATCAATAATGTTATCTATGTTAACTTTCTAGTATCTTATCAAGGCGATCTGGGAGTTCCTAAATAAAGTTTCCTGTATTTAATAAAATTTCTCACAAAAGAAAATTTTTTGCATCACAAATTTTAAAAGTGATTATTTTTCTTACACCATTAGGTTGATTCGCATAAATCTAAGGTCAGTCTTAGTAAATTAAGGTGATAGCTAGTCAAAATTTCCATTATTGTACCTATTTTGTCTTTGTTTTGCTCACACATTGTTGTCAATAAAATGGAATTCTATGCGACTGTCATACAAGTGAGAGGTTTAGCTAGCTACAAAACCAGCCAAGTTTAATCCACCATTTTCTACATAAGGAAATGCCTGTACCAAGTCAAGAATACATGTATGACAGTTCTTTTCCATTTGTTTGTTGTGTTTTAGCTTTTGGTTTTGCTATTTGATAATGGACTTTACGTTTTAAACATTCCTTGGAGTTAGGTATTTTTGTTATTTTACTTTTTAAGTGCTCCCTTGAATGACCGTCTTTCCATCTGTCCCTCCCATTTTTGTTTGTTTGAAGCTTGAGCGGGGGCATTTGTGTCCTCAGACACATTCTTCTTTTATTTCTATATATAGTTGACCGATGTTTAAATCTCACAAATAGTAAAGCAAGGAATGAACCTTAGTCATGTTAGTACTGTAAAACAGACATGACCAACATGACAAATGTCATGTTAAGAGAGCAACCTCTGAGTTTACATGTAAAACCTGCTTATGACATAAAAATCCTACTGTTAGAATTAATGTAAAAAATGAAGTAATTATACAAAATACATGAACATCCTTCCTTTACTATTAACCATTGACCGATCTGTTCTCATTTGACATGTAATATCATCTCTCCATCAATTACATGATAAACCACTATAGCTTATACTGTACAAGGACAGAAACAATATGTGGAGATAATTAAAAATCATGGTAGTAGTTATTGAATCCTTTAACGAGGATGTGAAAAAATGTCAGTCACTGTCAGTCATTATTTGTTTATCAGATGACATTTTATAAATTTGTGTGGGACTTGATGCAAATATGTATTGAAGGTTGTTATGTAAATTTGCTTCAAAAACGCACTGAAAACTATAAAATTGAGTAAGAAAAGGTTAAATGGATTAATTTATGAAATATATGGTAGGTTGTTTTATTTTCTTTAAAAAAAAATAAAACTAAATTAACAATTGAGCAACCATTGAATACACTAAGATAATTTATCTCTTTACAATAGTTTCAGATTTAATGCTTTTCATGATTTTGAAGAAAATTGAAAGGAGGTTGGATTTTGTGCCAAATGGACCGTAAAATCAAATGTACATCATACTGTCACTGATATTCTGAATCAATGTACCTTATAAAAATTTAAACATTACAGTTTGGTGTAAAGTGTCCCTTTTTTTATAAAAAAAAAATTACATAAATTCCCAAAAATGGCAAATTTGACTTGCAAAATTAAATGTGTGAAAATGATATTGAGACAAAAACATACACAATTGTATTCACAGAAGAAGAAGGGTCATTTTGAAATCAAACGTATAAATTTTTTTTGATCCCCCCATAATATTTCACTATTTTATTTTATCCCCTTAAAAACATTTATAAAAAAATGTGATTCCCCTCTTTTAAAAAATGCCAAAATTTTAAGATGCAAAACAATTACCTTTGACACACATGATATGTAGGATATACTTGAAGATTCAAAATAAGCACATATGTTTCATTAGAGATAAAATTGATCCCCCACTTTGAATTTACAAAAAAATTGAACCCCCCCTTTTACACTTACAGAAAAAAACTTCATCCCCCCTACATTTTGACCAGCCCCTCCCAGGTAAAAAAATGATAAGTTCCTTATTTTGGTCGATGCTTGTGATCAATATTGATTTAGCCAAAATTGTTCTTAAAATAAGCTTATTTTTGCCAAAAATAAAATCGGGATAAACACAATTTTGACATCACTTTAATCTTGTTAATGATTTGTAGTCAAATGAAATATCAAAGCATAGGTGATATTTATAGCATGTATAGTATAGTCTCAAAAGAAAAGATAATGATTCATGTCATAATTGACGAATGTTTAAATGATGATATTATCAGTGACTAGCAAAGTAAATAGTGGTTAAAAAGATAATATTCTATATGTAATATGGCTTTTTAATACATCAATATAATGCCCTGAGCTCAGCTCAAGGGATTTTTATAGTGTTTGAGGTTTTATTTACCACGATTTATATTGATTTTTGTTTGTTTAACGTCCAGTGGGTGACTAATATTGAAAAGGCCATATCATATGCACTTTTTTATTTAGTGTTAGAATATATGTAAAAATAGATGTTTTAATGTAATACAACATTTTGGAGGATTCAGAATAATTGCTTTTGATTGAATTACATATAGAACTTGTATTTTCTACAAAGTATAAAATCGTGTCCATTTTATTCTATTTAGACTATTAATTATCAATATGGTTATTTCCCATATTGATTCGAGTACAATGTTTATTCTCAAGACTTGAATATAGATATGGACCAAGATCTATCGTATTAATAGACACTGACTTTATTACAAAAACCACAAATTTTATTGATTACCGGTACATGTAGGTCAATGAGACAGCAACGTCATGACATCATTTCTCCTTTGAATTCCTTCACATTTTTTATGACTTCACGGTATAGGTTTTTCTCATTATTGAAGCTAGAAAGTGGATAGTTGTCTCATTGGCAATCATATTGCCTCTCATTATTTTTTAAATGTGATGACCAGTGGTCACTATGGTCACCAGTCCTCAATGATTGTTTACAACCATCAGCATTCACTGAAAAAAATTATTTAGTATTTTGTGCTTTACAAATTTTCTATACTGGTAACTTTTTATTTCAGGTTGAGATGCATTAAGATTTTAAGCAAAGATGTCTAATAATGACACTTCCCAGATTTTTTCGAGTGGTAAAGTACCAATCCTAACTGGTTCCCCGTTAGCTGCAAGGAAGAAAAAACAGTTTAACAGAGGAGGAAAACGTCACCAATTTAGACACAGTGACTCGGATACAGATTCTGTAAGTTCTGATTATACTTGATCCCAATGGAAATTATCATTGTTATGGTAGATATCATGATATTTAAATGTCTGTCTCTAATTTCGTCTGTTTTTTGTTGTAACATTGTTAGGATATTTGCCTTATTTTTCTAATTTTTTAATATTTTAATGTTCTTTGCTCTTAAAACATGTAAAATGCATGGAATATTTGCTACTGGACATTAAGCTTACAACAATTGAATAACTCACTCAGGCAAATTTGACCATAGATGGATTTGGCTATTATTTTTAGGTCATTTTTGGTCATAATTGTCATATATATATAGATCTTCAACTGTTTCTGTTCTTTTCCGTCCTTGGCTTTCAAATATTCGGCTTTGATCGTTCCTGATGAAGGTAATTCCTGAAAAGTGCTTCGACCATGAAATTTATTCAATGTTGCTTTAATTTTATTTGAGTAATTAACCTAAATAACAGTTTCCTTTTATAGTCAAGGTCATTTAAAAACCCTCTTATACATTTTGTAGGTTGCACTTCTGTAAATATAGACAATTGATGCAATTTCCCATAGGAACTCCTTTTACAGCTAAAACTCTGCCACTTTTACTATGAAGTTTCGTAAAAAATCATATCCTAGAATGGAAAGTTCATATATGCACTACTATTTTTTTCAAAGGTCAAAACATAGTGCTGTGCTGCATGTTTTCAACATTTATATGTAGGACTCTAAAGTGCGATGGTACTCTAAAGTGCGATGGTCACGCTAAAGTGCGATGGACTACGCTAAAGTGCGATGGTGCCAGACACTAAAGTGCGATGGTTATTTGATTTTTAAAGCGAAATGATATTACACGCCAAAGTGCAATTTTATGACACGCTAATGTGCGATGGTATAGCAATAAGTTGAGGCAATTGTTTTTTGTTTTTGTTTTTGTTTTTGTTTTGTTTTTGTTTTTTTTGTTCTTTTTTGCTGTGTTCCTATTAATTTCTTTGTTAATTGTATTTGCCGGATTATAAATCATGCCGTTGTCTTTCTCTTTTCAAATGTTTTCTACTGGTCTTTGTTTGGCCCTTTATGACTTGCTATGCGTCGTAGGCTAAGACCCCACGTTGATGGCCGTACGGTTATTAGTTGCAACATTAACGCCATTTGGTGTTTAATTTGGTGGATAGTTGTCTCATTGACAGTTATACCACATCTTCTTATTTTCATTTACTGAATTACAGCTGTAGGTTTATTGGCTTGAAACAGGTTCATAAAGTTATTAATAGCTACTGCAATGTAATCATTTCACTTTTTTAATGTACGATAGTTGTTAAAAAAGTGAAATGATTACATTGCAGTAGCTAGTATTAACTTTATGAACCTGTTTCAAGCCAATAAACCTACAGCTGTAATTCAGAGGTAGTCGTTTCGTTGTTGCTGTATTTCATATTTGTTTTTCGTTTATTATTTTGTATATAAATCAGGCCATTATTTTCTCGTTTGAATTGTTTTACACTGGTTGTTTTGAAGCTCTGGTAAACAAAAATTAGCCGAATTAAGTAAACCTCTTCCAGAACCGACCAAAAAATGTTCTGGATTGGGATCATTTAGTTTCTTTTTTTCTTTTAATAAATCTTCTAATAAAACCCTGGACAAACAGTCTTGTTTTCCGGCATGTAAATGACTTTGTTTGTACAAACGGCGTGTAATTATTCTGTCAGAATGCTTTTAAACTTAGCTAACTTCCTTATTTTCGTAAACAATCGCACTTTCGCTGAAAAACGCATTTTAGCTTATTGAGGCATCGGACTTTAGCGTGTTCCATTGAATAGCACAGACCATCGCACTTTAGCGTAACGAACCATCGCACTTTAGCGTGACCATCGCATTTAAGCGTCCCCATCACACTTTAGAGTCCTACATATATACCCCGAACTTTCAAGAGTTTAAACTTGTACTTAAATTCTGTATTACCCCTCCTTTCACTTTTTGTCTTCCTCAGAATTCAATTTAGCCACTATCCATGTGTATTTGTACTGGTAACATTCCCAAGTTTTGTCTCTATGAGATGAAACATGGAGATCAGATCTGGGAACCAGTATCATGAGTATGTTAACAAAACAAAATATCTATGAATTAATATATCACCCCAAAAGAGGCATGGTTTGTGAAACAGCTGTATTTACAAAGTGCAACCTATATATATATATTGAAAAAAATCCAATACAAATGGCCAGATATAACCATGATAATGTATCATTAATATTTATTTTTACCCTGCGGATGTGTTCTTCAATACACAGATGTTGCATGATTGATATCTAGCAAAGAATTCAACAAAAACTGTTACTTAAGGGGCTGTCTCTTACTTGATTTGAGACCAGAGGTTTTGCTCCAGTTTGAAGGCATCACTGTGACTTTTAGATGAATAACAACCATGAAAACATTGTTCCTTTGCTTTTGGTCACATTTTTTGTAAAGATAAAAACAATAATTTCTATATTTACAGTAGCCAAAGGTCTATAATATAAATAGATTGTTGGAAGTAAGGGTAAGTATTGTAGGTGTTCCCAGCTAAAGGGAGCTTTGATATTAATGTACAGAAAAAATCAAATTAGCATTCTGCTTGTTTAAAAATGTTTTAAAAAAACATCTTGTTACTGAAAATGATAGCATCAGGTTGAAATAATATTTAGACAAATTCTGGAGAAATTCATATGTAATGGCATGAATGGGATTGGGCTTCAAGATTAGTGCACTAGGGTGTCAAAGGCAGAATGTATAACCAGTAATATATAGATATCTTTAGCAAATAGTTATAAAAGTGAGTTATCAGTTGTTGTTTTCTTTCATTCAGGAAAACAGTGATGATGATTTTTCCATTACAAGTTCACAATCTGCTCATGCTGGTGTTCCTGTTGTGAAGAAGGAATTACTAGAAACAAAGTCAACAGCTTCTAAAAGTAGGAAACGGAGGAAAGCTAGGCAAGATTGGGAAATAGTTGAAGGACTGAAGGATGGACAAACTTGCGATGATAAACCTGGGAATTATCAAAGTTACATGATGAAAAAAAGAAGATGGCCTTTGAAAGGCTGGCACAAGGTAAAAAAATGTTACTTTTAAAAACAACGTCACATCACAAGTTTTTGGTGTGTGCTAATGAAAATATTTCACAAAATTTGTAAGATTCTGAAATGACAAATTCACCACATCTGCAGCGGCTTTCAATGATTAGCTGCCACATTATACATGCATGTGATAATATAATCATCTCAAATTTTCTTAAGTTTCAAAACAGTATGACGAAGATTATTTAACATCGCTAAATTCTGTATGTGGCCAAACCAAAAAAATTAAAACATCAACAACCATTGACATTGCTTTTAACTTTGAAAAGAGACTTAACTAAGTCATTTGTAAGTGGAAGGGTGAATATTCATACTGTTCCAATTTCACAGTCAATTGCAAAACAATTTAAAACAACAAAAGACATTTAAAAAAATCATATTGCAGGTATTCGCCTGATGCATAAGGCACTATGTCAAGGTCAGCTGGAATTGATAATTCTGAATTAAGGTAGCACTACAGTCTAACAATGATTTTTTGAAGATATTTTTTTTATCACATAATTTTGAATTAAGTATTATTCTGCACAGTTTGTAAAAATCCCAAAGTCATTATCATATCACAACAGTGAGTAAATTGATAATGAACTTATGTAAATAAAAGCACATGGTAATTAATCTTAATATATAGGCATTTGGGAGGGGCTAATATGTCAATCATCTGTTGATACCAGTGTCCAGCTGTTAATCCCTGACCACAAGATAAATATTGTGGTCTTATCTCATTGTATTGCAACAAAAGTAATTTATATAACATGTTTATAAACAGAGAAAAAGAAAAAGATATGAAGGAAAAAATCTAATGGGAAGAAATCTACAAAAAATGAAAAAAAATATGGAAAAGAGTGTGAAAGTATCTGAAAGCCTCTGACTGCCTGTATAAATTTCTTCTATTTGGTCTTCTTCATTTAAATACAGTTTTAGGCATTTTAACCAATTTTAAGTTTATGTGAAATTTTTCAATTCCATAAAACTCAAAAATCATGTGGGAGTGTCTTTTTTTAAAGAAGTGGATGGTCTTGGATCTTTTTATTAACATGTCTTTTGATGCACAATTTTAATGTTTTAGCTTAAATTTCAGTAATAGTATATTTCTTTTTAAAATACAAATGAAATTTATTCTTTATAGTGAGAATAATGATGTTAAATATTGATTATATGCAGCTGGTCAATCCTGTTATTCTCTTATATAAGACTGTCTGGACAGAGGCGGAGCTTTGTCTATATTTAATTACTACATCACAGATATTGGTCAAATCTGTGACGTCAAACTCCCGCCAAATGCCAAGTTAGTGTTGCACAGTGCCACACATAATGCAAAATTTACAGCATAAGAGCATCAAAGAAACAAAGTGTGTGGTTCTATTGATAAAGTAATGGTGTCAGAATACTCCTGGGGTGTTCCCAGTGGAATTTTTGTATTTATGTTGCATTTATAGGGGTTCTATGGGGGAAATTCTGTTTTTAGGTCATTTCTCAGAACAATTTTTCATGAGATTTGTTAGGAAAAAATGAAAATATAAACTTTATGGGTACCCCCTTTGGCTTGACTTTGATATATGTGATTAAAGGGAGTATTTTCTACAATACTGTGTCCCAGTTTTTGGATAATTTGTTTCTAAATGAATTTATAGGTCTCCAAAGATGAAAGGTGAAATGAGGTTTGGCACCCAGCAGTTAAATCAATATATCTTCTTACTGGAGGCATGTATCAAAAATCTGAGACACGGTTTTGCAGTTTGTATATGGTTGATTAAAGGGATGAAAACAAATTTTTACTACCATTTGACCTGAATGTGCCATTTCCATCCAAGTTGGAAGACCATTTTTTTGGCAATTAATGAGCTATATTTTGAGATTTATCATACCAAAAATAAATTTATCTATGGATTAAGAAAGAATAATAGTTTAGCTTTAAAATGAGTTAAAGATTTTAAAAATCCATTGAGTAGTTTTGGAGAAATTAATCTTTTAAGACTGTTGGTTGGAGTCAGAAAATTCTAACTGTAGTGCTACCTTAAATAAACAAGATGTTTATCAACAGGAATAGTTATTTATTGTCTTCATGCATGTGACACAATTAATTTCCTTGGAAGGTGTACAATCCTTTATTTGTACTTATATCCTACAAACTAGCCTTTCAACACTTAGATTGTGAGTTTGAACCCTGCCCGTTGCAGTTGTGTTTGATTAGGATCTTTATTGACTAGGGAGTTTTTCTGCTGAGGGTCGATAGTTCTCTCGAAGTACTCTGGCTTTTTCAACCAATTAAAACTGGATGCCATGCAATAGCCAATAGTGCTAAAAGTGGTGTTAAACACCAACCATCATTATAAATCAATGAGAATACATGTATCCTACAAACATGAGGTAATTTTTGTCGAGCCTTCGACTTATGTTGAAAAAGCAAGACATAGCGATCCTACATTCCGTCTGCGTCGTTGTCGTCGTCGGCGGCATCCACAAATATTCACTCTGTGGTTAAAGTTTTTGAAATTTTAATAACTTTCTTAAACTATCCTGGATTTTTACCAAACTTGGACAGAAGCTTGTTTATGATCATAAGATAGTATCCAGAAGTAAATTTTGTAAAAATAAAATTCCTGTTTTTCTGTATTTTACTTGTAAATGGACTTAGTTTTTCTGTCGGGAAACATTACATTCACTCTGTGGTTAAAGTTTTTAAAATTTTAATAACTTTCTTAAACTATCCTGGATTTGTACCAAACTTGGACAGAAGCTTGTTTATGATCATAAGATAGTATCCAGAAGTAAATTTATTAAAAAAAAAATTTCATTTTTTCCGTATTTTACTTATAAATGGACTTAGTTTTTCTGCCAGGAAACAATACATTCACTCTGTGGTTAAAGTTTTTAAAATTTTAATAACTTTCTTAAACTATCCTGGATTTGTACCAAACTTGGACAGAAGCTTGTTTATGATCAAAAGCTAGTATCTAGAAGGAAATTTTGTTAAAATTTTGTACCTGTTTATCCGTATTTTACGTATAAATGGACTTAGTTTTTCTTCCAGTTAACATTAAATACAGTCTGCAGTTAAAGTTTTTAAAACAATTATTAGATTCATAAACTATCCTGGATTTATACCAAACTTTGACAGAAGCTTCTTACAATCAAAAGATAGTATCTAAAGGAATATTTTTATTGATTTTTTTCCTCATATTTGTTGAGCCTGCGATTAACAGCAAAAGTAGGCGAGACACTGGGTTCCGCGGAACCCTTACAAATTTTTACGTTTGTAAAGCCTCATTTTGTTTAAATATTTTCTGACAATCTACATTCATTGGTTTTATATGCAATTGTTTTCTCTTTATTATAGAGATTTTTCTTCTTGGAGAAAGGAAAGTTGTTTTATGCCAAAGCACCAGGAGATGTAAGTAGAGATCAGGAGGATTAACCTTTGACCTGTTATTGGTTAATCATTTTCTCAAGTTATTATGGTTTTTGCAATTTAAAAAAAAACATTCAACACCTGACTTTTTAACAAGTTATATAAGTTATACAAATATTGTTCTAATTATTGGCTAATTATTTTCTCAAGTTACTGTCTTTACAATTTAAAAAAACATTCAGCACCACTTTTTAACAGGTTATATAAGTTATTACAATGTACAAGAACGACTTAATAATTACTAGATTGATATAAATATACATATCAATTCTCATTATCAACCCTAAACATCTGTATTATATATATAATTAGTAGTTGTAAAGGAGTATGGCTACAAAGGCCTAAATTTGGCCCAAAATATCTTATTTTATAATTTTATTTATATCAGTCTTAATTATCCAAATTTATAAACACAATTATGGCATGTATATTTTATTTCAAAAATTAAAATTGCCGCCTTGTGGATTATAGAGTACAATAAGCAAGGTATAATAGAAAAACTCAATTTTGCAAGGGTTGTTTAAGTTCCGCCATCTGTGTTATTGAAATTGTAGAGGGCGCACCCTTATTTTATTTTTGAAATTAAGTATTTACCTAATTGGTATCAATATGCAATCTTGATTCAAAATCCAATATTTACTGATAAATATCAAAATTAAATACAATTTTTTCCTTTCTTTTCATAGCATTGCATAACATAAACTGCAATCTGCTTGTATTTAACGGAATGAAAAAAAGTGTACATGTCCAGCTTATGCATAACGATGTATAAACTACAAAACGTAATCGGTTATTCATTCTGTGTTGGTGTTTTATACTGACATATGTGTTTTGTTTTAGCTAAAGATCCTTCGAACATTAATGTGATAGATATGTTTAACAGTATTTTACTATAGGACAAAACTGTTTTAATTTCAAAGTTGTATTTTAGTTATATCTATTAACTACGGATTTTATGCACATACTCACTGTAGTTTAATATTTTTGATTTACACATGCTATTCGTACTTTCTGTTTATGTCAATTCCAAATGTTTTTATGTCCCACCTAGGGGCATTATGATTTTCGGTCTGTGCGTCTGTTTGTCCGTCCGTCCATTTGTTTGTTTGTTCGTTCGTTCGTCCTGCTTCAGGTTAAAGTTTTTGGTCAAGGTAGTTTTTGATGCAGTTGAAGTCTAGTCAACTTGAAACTTAGTACACATGTTCCCTATGACAATGTATGATATGATGTTTCAAATCTTAATGCCAAATTAGAGTTTTGACCCCAATTTCACGGTCCACTGAACATAGAAAATGATAGTGCGAGTGGGGCATCCTTGTACTATGGACACATTCTTGTTTTTAGTGATTTTGACTTATTTTAACACTCTTGAATTGTTCTAGAATCATTTACAAGCATTTTCAACGCCTACTTAATGATGGAAAACCGGTTTTTCCATAAAAATACTGCAAAAGATCACACACGATTTGAAATAACTGGAGTTTCATTAGACATTTTTTAAACAATTTTTTTTTCCTGAATTTCGTTGCCAAAAATGGGGTGCTGACAATTTACCAGTGCAGACTTAAGAAGGCAGATTACGATAAACTAAACCCATTTTCTCTCTGCTGTTTGTTTTACAATATTGACAGCTTCAAAAGTAGGATATTCTACAAGTTTTTAGCCAGATTGTTGTTTTTTCTGCATTTGCCCATCTCCAGTTTACATCTGTTTGTCTGTCATTCCCATAAAGTCAAGTTTCATCCATCACTCATCAAAGTTCTGTTTACCTAATATTTATAGCAAGGGCATGACAGTTCAAATTTTTCATAAGAAAATATTTGATAGATTACAGTATTTTTATATTGAATTTTAGATACAGAAAGGAAAATTCCATGGAGTTATAGACATTGGTCTGTCTGTAATAGCTTTCAAACGACACAGACACAGAATAGATATTGATGCTGAGGATATTGTTTATCATGTTAAGGTAAGTCATGTGATCATGATGGAATGCATCATGTGATAATTTTGTTTATCTGTGATTGCATTCACTAATGAAGACAAATGATCGATTGCAATTCTAAAAACATTTTTAATTACTGTAAACTAATTAAGTTATTTTGACCACTTTCACCAGTGGAAATACAGCACATATATATGTCAAACTTAGATCTGCTCTTATATCAATATGCCAAAAAAGTTAAAAAAATCACAAAATTGTATAGACTAAGTTTACTAGAAAGGGCTACACAAGAAAAATGTATTAATGAAAGTGGTTTGGTTTACAGTATATTAAATTAAATCATGTAATCATGACTTATAAATGGTCATGTGATCTCGTTGAAGTTGGTTTATGTGTAAAGCCCTAAAACAAAACAGACATAGCATTGATATTGATACTAAAAATATTTTTTATCAAGTAACACTAATCCCTGTTAACTTCTTGGCATATATAGTAAATAAGTAAATTGGTTTCAAAGTGACAGGTTAAGGTTACTCTGAGTAAGAATCCACAATATAGGTGAAGTTCTAAATTGCCCTCTAAGTGGTGAATACATTGAACATAGACCATCAACTATCTGCTATCAATAAGAAGTCTAGATAGACCATGTTGATGTTTTGCAAGCTTTGGTTTTTTTGCTTTTTCATAATGTTATGGTGCAAAGAACATGTGTGTACATACATATCCATTGAATTTTCCCTTAAAAAGAAAGAAACTATACAGATTAAAAGAGACCAATTAAAAATCATAAATTGAAGATTTCAAGACATAGAACACAGTGAATAAAAGAAAAAAAGGAAACAAATACAAACTTAAGTCCAAACAATAATTTACAGCCTTTTTATGCCCCCTCTGTAGCGGTGGGGGCATTAAGTTTTACCCTTGTCCATCTGTACGTACGTACGTCCGTCCGTCCGTACGTCCCAAAATTGGTTACCGTTCTCTAACTTGAGTTTGCCAAAACCAAATATTATGAAACTTATACACAATGCTTATTACCACAAAAAAGAGATCAAGTTTGAATTTTGGTGGCGTCACTTTAATGGTTGTAGAGTTATGCCCCTTTATAAATGGAAAAATTGCTAAATTTTTAGTTTCAGTTCTCTAACTTAAGTTTTCCTCAACCAAATGTTTTGAAACTTCTACACAATGCTTATTACCACAAAACACAGATCGAGTTTGAATTCTGGTAGTGTCACTTTAACCGTTCCAGAGTTATGCCCCTTTGTAAATGGAAAAAATTGCAAAATTTTTAGTTTCCGTTCTCTAACTTAAGTTTGCCTCAACCAAATGTTTTGAAACTTCTACAAAATGCTTATTACCACAAAACACAGATCAAGTTTTGAATTCTGGTGGTGTCACTTTAACTGTTCTAGAGTTATTCCCCTTTGTAAATGGAAAAATTGCAAAATTTTTAGTTTCCGTTCTCTAACTTAAGTTTGCCTCAACCAAATGTTTTGAAACTTCTACAAAATGCTTATTACCACAAAACACAGATCAAGTTTTGAATTCTGGTGGTGTCACTTTAACTGTTCTAGAGTTATTCCCCTTTGTAAATGGAAAAATTGCAAAATTTTTAGTTTCCGTTCTCTAACTTAAGTTTGCCTCAACCAAATGTTATGAAACTTATACACAATGCTTATAACCACAAAACACAGATCAAGTTTGAATTTTGGTGGTGTCACTTTAACCGTTCTAGAGTTATGTCCCTTTATAAATGGAAAAATTGCTAAATTTTTATTTTCTTCTAAATATCAAGTTTTTTTTTAAATTTGAGTTATCTTCCTTTGTCCATGATTATAGTAGAATCAACTACAATCAATGCTTTATACAATGCAATCTTTAATTTTGACTTCCACTGATAAAACACAGATCGAGTTGAATTTGGGTAGTGTCACTTTAACCATTATTGAGTTATGCCCCTTTATAAATCGAAAAATTACAAAATTTTTAGTTTCCATTCTGTAACTTAAGTTTGCCCCAACCAAACATTATGAAACCTATACACAATATTCATTACCACAAAACTAAGATCAAGTACAAATTTTTATACGACCGCAAAAAAATGTTTGTGGTCGTATATTGGTATGACGTTGGCGTCGTTGTTGTCGTCGTCGTCGTCCGAAGACACAGTAGTTTTCACACTCTAACTTTAGTTTAAGTGAATGGATCTCAATGAAAATTTACCATAAGGTTCAATACCACAAAAGGAAGGTGGGGATTGATTTTGAGGGTTATGGTACCAACAGTTAAGGAATTAGGGGCCAAAAAGGGGCCAAAAATAAGCATTTTTGTAACTTCCAGACATAACTTGTGTGTAAGTGTATGGATCTCTCTGACATTGTACTACAAGGTTCCATATCACAAAGGGAATGCTGGGATTGATTTTGGGGGTAATTGCCTCCAAATTTTAGGAATTAGGGGCCAAAAAGGGGCAAAAAACAAGCATTTTTCTAGTTTCATGACAATAACTTGTGTGTAAGTCTATGGATCTCTCTGACATTGTATCACAAGGTTCCATATCACAAAGGGAATGCTGGGATTGATTTTGGGGGTAATTGCCTCCAAATTTTAGGAATTAGGGGCAAAAAAGGGGCAAAAAACAAGCATTTTTCTAGTTTCATGACAATAACTTGTGTGTAAGTGTATGGATCTTTATGAAATTATACTACAAGGTTCCATATCACAAAGGGAAAGCTGGAATTGAGTTTGGGGTAATTGCCCAAAAAGTTGAGGAATAAGGGGCCAAAAAGGGGCCAAAAATAAGTTTTTTTCTAGTTTCCAGACAATAACTTGTGTTCAAGTGTATGGATCTCTCTGAAATTGTACTTTTTTTTCTTTAAAATTTTCGATTTTAAATTGGTTATTTCTGATTTATATATAAAAGCAAATAATAATGATATGGTTTGAATAGGTAAATTAAAAATGTTTAAGTTCTTAGACCACTTTCATTCTGTGTCAGAAACCTATGCTGTGTCAAATATTTAATTACAATCCAAATTCAGTGCTGTATCAAGCTTGAATGTTGTGTCCATACTTGCCCCAACTGTTCAGGGTTTGACCTCTGCGGTTGTATCAAGCTGCGCCCCAGCGGAGCATTTTATTTGTTTCTGTTTTCTAACTTTAGTTTGTTACCATTCTTGAGTTATGTCCCTTTATAAACATAAAAATTGCTGAATTTTTTAGTTTGTCTCAACCAAATGTTATAAAACTTATACACAACCGTTCTAGAGTTATGCCTGTTAACAAATATAAAAATTGCTGAATTTTTAGTTTCTGTTCTCTTCTTAAGTTAGCCTCAACCAAATGTTATGAGACTTACACACAATGCTTATTACCACAAAACTCAGATCAAGTTCAAATTTGGGTAGCGTCACTTTTACCGTTCTTCAGTTATGTCCCTTTATAACTATATGATATGCAAGCGGGGGCATCATCTGTGTCCACATGTTTTAAGATAGAGTCAAACACAAACCTTACTGAAATGTGAAACCTTGAAAAATATAAAACTTTATACAGGAAATATTTTCTGAATTTCCTAATTGTTTCCATTAATTTTTTCAACTTGCAAAAATCATTTTATTTACAGGTGAAAGAAAACAGATCATTTGAGGAATGGATACAGAGACTTAAACATCACCGACTATACCGACAACATGTGATAGCGTATGGAACAAAAGAATCACCTAAGCTTACTGACATTACTTCACCAACGGAAGACATTGGATTTTCTACAGGTAAAATTAGTAAATAATCTCCAAGACATTTCGCTGCTCACAGATATTAAACATTTGATTTTCTACAGACAAAATTAGTCTGTAGTTAGTAAAGAATTTCCTAGACAGCTGTCACCAAGGAAATAATACTTTGGATTTTCCAATGGTTAAATTAGCAAATATAAATAAGAAGATATGGTATGAGTGCCAATGAGACAACTATCCATCCAAGTCACAATGTGTAAAAAGTAAACAATTATAGGTCAGAATGTATAAACCTTAAAATATTAACACAACAACACCAACTGAAGACAGCTTATTATGTATTCTTTATCTAAAATTGGATATAAAAACAAGGATATGTGACATTCCTCCACAAAGACCAAAGGAGGAGGATGAAAACAACAGTTTCTATAGGGCACTATACCTCCTTCAACAATGATCAAAAACTGTCACATATAGTAAGCTATTAAACACTCCAGTATGATAAAAAATAAAACAATTCAAAAGAGAAAACCAATGGCTAAAATAAATAAGGAAAACAGGAACCAACAATAAAAACTGCTGAATTATAGGCTCCTGACTTTTGACAGGCACATAACGAATGAGGAGGAATTAAACATGTTTAAATATAAAAATAAGGAGATGTGGTATGATTGCCAATGAAACTACTATCCACCAAAGTTCAAATGAAGTAGATGTAAGCTATTATAGGCAACTGTACGGCCTTCAACAATGAGAAAAACCCATACTGAATAGTCGTACATTTGTGTTATATACATTTCTCTAGGAATGTTGCCAATGTAAGTAGATATCAATTAATGATAAGTAAAATTTCAAAACCATTGTATGCTTGTTTAAATCCCTTCAACACCTCTCTATTTTATAGATAAAGGAAGGGAACACAAACTAAGTGCAGATGTTATACGACAATCAAGTTTTAAGAAAGAATCCCAACATAGTCGTGTAGCTACATGGGTGATGGACTCGGCTGGATTTGAGCATTGTGATAAAGGTAAGAAAGAATCCCAACAAATTCGTGTAGCTACGTGGGTGATGGACTCAGAAAAGTAGGAAAAATAAAATTCTAGAGTGACATAAGTAATGGCCGCTGTTGGATTTAAACTCAAAGTAAGAAAGTCACAGCAGGATTACAACATTGTTAAAGCATATGAAAGATCATAACAAAGTTATGTAATGGACTCTGCAGAATGTCATTGATTGTAGACTGTTCCCGAATTATGTCCCAGAATTGATTGTATGGGAAAGAGTTTGGAAGGCAGTAGCTTCTTTTAAAAATTGATGGGTGTTGATTACTTTAGAAAGACAGCCTGAACAATAATAGGAAATAATCAATTAAAATTGTAAGTATTTCTCCCCATACATCCATATATGGAACAACCCTTAACATTCAGTTGCAAATATTTCTATCATATATAGCAGGATTTGACTTTATGATAAAGATAAGAAAGCCTATGGACAAAGTTGTGTAGCCATGTGGATGATGGATTTGAGCATTGTTTACTTGGTAAGAAGGGCTCACAATACAGTGTATAGCTTCATCAGGTATAGATTTGGCTGTATTTGAACATTGTAATTGATTTATAAGGTAACATAGACTCCAACAGAGTGATTTTGGGTGATGAACTTGAGAGAAATTGACCTGAAATGAATTTGGACACTTTAAGATTCAGGAAAGCCGAGTACATGAAAATATTTTGGAAAACAAATTGTTTTTATGAAAATTGAAAGTTTAATCATTGAAAGCTGGACATTGTGATAAAGATATTTACCTGAAATATATTTGGAGATTATAAGTTTCAGGAATGCGACGTACGTATATAGTATATGAACCTTTTGGGGAAAATAAATATTTTTATGAAAATTGAAGCTTAAATTGAAATCTTGACATTGTGATAAAGATAAATACCTGAAATAATTTGGAAACGATAAGAATCAGTAAATCCATATACATATAAGAATTGTGGGCAATTATATTGAAAATTAAATATCGTTATGAAATTTGAAATGTAAATGTTATTGTAATTTAAATCCTTTACAGGTTTGAATGAGACCCAGACCATTCTATATGAATTGAGAGATGATTTAGAACAACTAAGAAATATACCGTTAACACCAGATTCAGTTATTGAGGTAATGTAAGGAAAGGTTTGTCTCTGAGGTTGTGCTCACACTGAAAGTTGTATACTGTAAACCTGTTAACCATTACCTTCATCGAATGAACATTGTTTTCACATTAAAGTTCTGGTAAAAAAAATGAACACCAGTTTAATTACTGTTTATTACTTTATTTTTCATGGATACCAATTTTCGTGGATTGAGGAACAATTGTTTTTTCGTGGATATTTGCTCATGCTTTTGGGAAATTCTACATTCAAGCCTAAAGAAAATTTTCAATTCATTACATTTGAATTCATTATATAACTATAAATCCACAAAATTTGATATCAAAGGAATAATTATGAATCTGCAGTACCTGCATACCTGTACATGAGAAATGTTCACACAAGATAAATTACAAGAACTTCAAATGTTCATTACATTTCTCCGTCAGCTTCCGTGGCAGTTATGAAAACTGTTCTTCTGACTTGGAGTACTATATACATGATATATGACAGATCTAAAGAAGTCTTGATTATGTTATAAAATAACACAGGCTTTAGCAGCATAATGACAACTTTAACAATGAGTAAAAAAGACTACTTTCAATGTGAAAGACATCATTTTATACTATAAATGCATGCAATAATTTCTGAATTCACATTACTTAAAATTCAGAAATTATTGCATGCATTTATTATTGCGTTTTTTGACGAATGGACAAAAATGCATGATTAATTATTGTGATTTAAGGAAAATCTGCTTGTTGATATCTGTATCAGATATCAGAATGCAAGTTCTTATTATTGCAAAGCTCACCTAGTTGCATTATTCGCATTATTACAAACCTTGCAATGATTTCTAAATTTACAGTACATTTAACTATAGAATTGTATTAAAGCATTCATTATACTTTTTGCCAAGTGTATTGTCTATTGATTCGTAAACTGTCTATTGAACCTACACCTCAAACTATATTAAGTTCATGACTGAGTCCAATCACTGTACACATAGATAAACTCCTCCAACATAACCTTTTTGCAATAATATTCTAGATGCAAAAGTCACACATTTGGAATTCAGGCAACATTGAGAAGAAAAAAGAGAGAATTGCAGGAACTCCCAATGGATTGAGACAAAGAGATTCTCAAAAGGGGGCAGGTTTTGGAAACTGCTTCACTCTCCTTGTTAGCCTTAAATATTTTCTATATTTTGTTGTTAAGGCGTGTAACTTAACCTCACACTGCTTTGAAGTCCTATCTATTTTCTATATTTTCAGCTGTGCTGCTAAGTCCTCCCATATTTGCTTTTTCTGCAAATACTATTAAATTGTTTTCTGTGCATGGTCTTGATGCCATAATTTTATTAATGCCCCTTTTTCCAAGTGTGTCTACTCAATTTAGGAAGACTTTTTCAAGTGAATGACGTGTATGATGATTGCTATTACTGTAACTTTTTTTAAAAAACTATGCAATTTGAGTTTTGGACCAAAAAAGTTGGTATACAACTTAATTTCACAATATAATGACACTGTGCAACTACCCTGTATTATTTTGTTTAAAGCCCAATGTAAACGATTTACTTGAAGAGCGCGTGAGAAAGTCACTTTCCATTTCATTTTATTTTTCTCCTGTTTAAAAATCTTTTAATCGACTGGCACTGTGTTTTACAATCAAGACTAAATAAACAGTTGTAGCAATTCAATGTGGTATTTTTCTTGTCTGAATTGTCAAAAACAACATGATATTTTGTTAAAAAAGCAATTTATTTTATATTTTTGTAAATAGATATAAGCACAGATGGTCCTATTTTTCATCAATTATTAAAGATATAATCTTTCAAGTATTCAAATAATAACCGATTAAATTAGGATGACCAGAATCATTGTCATTCCATGTCTGTTACAGTTTCAGTTGAAATGCATACAGATATTGAGGATACATGCCATCAAGGGGTACCTCATAAAATTTCATTCCCCAAACATTAATTCCTCAGTTTTTATTCATGAAAAGTGCATATACTATCTATGGGTTGTGTTTCTTGAGTTTTATCAGTGTTTTTATACGCCCGTCAAATTTTTGACGGGACGTTTTATGGTATACAAATGTCCTGCTTCCGTCCGTCTGTCCGTCTGTCTGTCTGTCCGGCGTAAACATGTTGCACCGTAACTTGAGAATGACTTATCCAAATTTCATGAAACTTAAGATAGTTGTTTCTTATGATGGTCAAACGATCTGTATACTTTTTGGTGAAAATAAGATTAAAACTTTTTGAGTTACGGGACTTAGTAACTAAAACAGGTGTGTGTTTTTTTTTCACATGTCACGCCGTATCTCAAAAACAATTTATGATTATTGCTTAAACTTTACACACTTCTTAGTTATATTAATCTTAAGATCTGTATACTTTTTGGTTTTGATTCAAAATTTTATTTTTGAGATATTGATTTTTTTTTTTTTTAAAAGGGGGGTTTTCACATGTCGCGCCGTATCTCAAAAACGATTTATGATTATTGCTTAAAATTTTACACACTTCTTCGTTATTTTAATCTAAAGATCTGTATACTTTTTGGTTTTGATTCAAAATTTTATTTTAGAGATATTGAGTTTTTTGTAAAAAAAAAGGGGGGGTTTTCGCATGTCACGCCGTATATCAGAAACTATTTATGCTTATTGCATAAAAATTCACACACAAGATGACGGGTGTATCATGCGCTCATGGCGCAGCTGTTTATTGTATATTGAAAAACATTTATTGATGATTACAAGAAGGAAATAAATAGGCATTCTGTTCAGAACATGGGGAAATTCATTTTGTCATTACGGTGACTAGCTATAGACTATTGTAAATGTAGCTGTCCACCTATTACAGTTCAATGAAAATTCTGACCAAATTTCAATTTGTTTCATCAAATCAAACTGTTCAACTGTTCAGAAATTTTAACCAATTGCCATAGAAGAACACAGTCAAGTCATCAAAGGGCAAAGTGACAAAATAAAATTTTCAATTATTCAATGGAAATGCACAGTTTTGCTCAATGCGATCACAGCCTTAGATGCATATAGACTGTACCACTGACTTCAGTGAGTGGGATAAGATAATTTGTCACTTGAGACAGTTAATTTTTCAAATTAAAATTAAAACACAAGAGTTGCAGAGTGATATAATGAATCATAAAATTGAATTGTTGAAAGTGGAGATATACCATATTGCATGATATACAGTGGTTGGATCTGTTTATCTTATGATTTTTAGAGGATATGTAGACAAATCTTTATAGTTATCCTTCTTTTCTAATGATCTGCAAAAACGTATGCTCTATTTTAACGATTTTCACTGTACTTTAAAAATAATGCTTATTTGCACAGTAAAAAGACATTACTAATTAAAGCAATGTGTAGATAAATAAATTTTATCTGTTTGTGCTGAAATCTTTTAATACTTTGTACTGTAGATTGATTATACTCATTTTCGTGGAAATGAAAAATGTGTATTTTTGTGGATATTTGATTTCTTGGTTTTGTTAAAAGTTTGCATACAAGTCCATAGAAAATTATACTTTGTTGAATTATTCAATTCATGGTTTCTCTGTAACTATGAAAGCAATGGAAATTGGTACTGCAGGAATAATTATGAATCCAAAGTATCTTATTACAAAATTTTGAACTAATAAATATCTTCATGCATTATCTCCCCCTTAATGGAGCTGGAAAAAGTGAGATTTTTGTAGCTCCAAAAGGTTGAAAGGTATAATGCCTTTGACTGACCTTTTTGTCCAAGAACTCATAAATTTACTATGCTTTCTCTGTAGTTTCTATAACACAGATCTTTTGAAAAATTGAAGTTGTGATACCTATTCTATTCTTGAAACCAATGAAAATTTAAATAATCCTATTGTTTCGAATTCTTTTGGCTAAGATAATTTTTAAAGTAGGGATCTAGACACGCAGTTTGTATTTGTTCAAATAGTTTCAATTGTTTGTAATATTTTGATACATATCATTGGAGAAAGATCTATTGATCAAGTTTGAACATTAATTTCAATGGCTATCTTTGTAAGAAATTCAATTACCTTCCTTTTCAAATAAGACTTGATCAAACTGAATCTTATTCTTCTGGAGGTGAAGCAAAATTTTTTTCCAGAATGCTGGCAGTGTTGTACCAACATATTTATATATTTTTCAACGAAAAACATGATTCATAGGTTGCTGTTCATTTTCATCTGCTTTTATTATCCAAACAGTTTTTTTTATTTATCACCTTAATTATATTTGTGGTGAAAATGATTAAAAAAAAAAATTATAATAACCTTTTCATCATATTAATTAGTAAAAAATGCGTTATACACATTGCAAAGAAATCTTTGTATATTTCTACTTATACAGCTAGAGTGGTTTCAATATCAACTGATAGACACAAACCCCAAAAAGACAACTGCCTTATTTACAGAGGAAAATTTTAATTTATGTGTTTTCAGGAAGCTGAAAGTGAACCAAATGATTCGAAGAAGAAGAGTCGTGGACTTGGACTGAGGAGTAAACGGAAAGAGAAGAAGTCGAGTGACACCTCACTGACAGATAGTGATCTCATGAGAACCAGTTCTTCCAATCCAAACCTTGTACATTACGAGATTAGCAGAACACGACCCAGCAGTATGTCTGATGCTCATTATACCGGTGGAAATGATTCGTTTCTCAGTCAAGACACTTATGTAAATGATTCCAAGTTAAGAGAAACTTTTGTAGTAAAGGCTGAGAAAGGTATGTGAAGTTAAGAATGAAAAAAAAACCCAACATAATCTAGATCTCAATAGGCTTAGAAAGGTATTAAAACTGATGTGAGTTAAGGAATTTAGAAAAAAGACATCTAGAAGAGGAGGAGGGGATGTCATCCTGAATTCCCCAAAAAATAACACATTCTTTCCCGTATCCCGAAAAATTATACATTAATCCCAGATTTCAATTAAGGTAAATCCTGAATTCCCGCAAAAAAATGCCCAATCCTAAATTCCCGCTAAAATAAAGGCCTAATCCCAACATCATGAAAAAACTCTACTAGAAGTTAGTATGTGGGAAGCTAAAAAGTTTTACCTTTTCATTTTAATTAGTACATGAAGATCAAAGATTTTTTGAAATAAAAATTTAGAAATTTACAAGAGTCTTCAGCACTTGCATAAGAATTGAGTACATTTTAATGTAGTTTTATACTATATGTTAAAGGCTTTGAGGGAAGAAAATCTTGGTGTTTCAGTGCTTTATGCAAAAATGTTAGCACTGACTATGCTTTTGCAGGACAAGAAAACTTCATAAAATATACATTCAATTCTTATATTACTTATTTTGTGACCAACAGAAACCAGTTCAAATCAAATATACATTGTATGTGTATATGGTATAAAAAAATCGATTGAAAAAAAACCCTGTAAATGTGGGCATGACCAATAATTGTGAGTTTTATTGAGTCTTGTAACTTCAATGCACAGAAGTATTGATCAATAAGAATGCCAGAATCATATGACATTTTCTTCATGTAATTGTTTTTAAGATAAAAAGAAATATAGGAAAAAAATCATTAAAACAGCAACCAAACAACAGAAATAGAAACCAAAATGCACCCAAAGGTTAACATATAAACCAGAGGTCAAAATATGGTTTTTAAACTTCCTTTTTTTTTCAGTTCATAAAAATCTCAAATCCTTACTGAACATAATTGGAACAGAACGAGATCGTCTGAAGCAAGCAGTTGTAGATAATAACAATTGGTCAGGATCATCTGCAAGTTTGAATAAACATCTTATTGAAGTAAGTTATATGGCATACATTTAGGCAAGTTTGAATAGACATATTATGGAAGATGGGTTATAAAATAGTTATGCATGTTTAGATGGACATTTTCTTAGAGTAAGTCAATTGACAGTTAGGCAAATTTGAATTATTGAAGTAGCAATTGACAGTAAGGTAAGTTTGGATAGTAAGTTATATGACCGTTAGGCAAGTTTGAATAGACATGTTATTGAAGTAAGTCAATTGACAGTTGGGCAAGTTTGAATATGCATCCTATTGAAGTAAGTTACACATGTATGACAGTTAGGCAAGTTTATATAGACATCTTATGGAAGATAAGTTATAAAGCAGTTAGACAAGTTTGAATAAAAAACTTATGGAAGATAGTTATAAGTCAGTTAGGCAAGTTGAACAGACATGCTTTTGAAGTTTGTTAAAATTCATTTATTTAATGGCAGTGAGACAAGTTTGAACAGAGTATGGGGAAAGTCCTAATTGACTATGATTTAGGAACTTGAATCTATCTTGTTGTACTTATTTGTTTGAAATTACTTAATTTTTTTATTTTTATGCCCCACCTAGAGCCATTATGTTTTTCCGTATGTGTGTCCCTTCGTTCATTCGTTTGTCCGTCTGTCCTGCTTCCAGGCTTTAGGTTAAAGTTTTTGGTCAAGGTAGTTTTTGATGAAGTTGAAGTTCAATCAATTTGAAACTTAGTACACATGTTCCCTATGATATGATCTTTCTAATTTAAATGCCAAATTAGAGTTTTGACCCCAATTTCACGATCCACAGAACATAGAAAATGATAGTGTGAGTGTGGCATCCATGTACTATGGATACATTTTTGTTGAGTAATAAAATATATATTTCACAATAAATTGTTATTTGTACTTTTAGGCATTGAGGCAGAATGCAGAATTACGTAATAAATTAGCAAAGATTCATGCCGAGTCAGCAGTTCAATCTGACACAAAACTGGTACCCCCATCATCACCAATCTTATCACCTGTGCTAAACTTAGATAAGGTAAGATATAAAACTGGTCCCACCATCATCACCATTCATATCACATGTGCCACACTTAGAAAAGGTTTGACATAAAACTGGTCCCACCGTCATCACCAATCTTATCACCTGAAACAAACTTAGATAAGGTTAGATACAAAACTGGTACCCCCATCATCACCAATCTTATCATCTGTGCAAAACTTAGATAAGGTAAGACACAAAACTGGTCCCACCATCATCACCAATCTTATCACCTGTGCCAAACTTAGATAAGGTAAGACACAAAACTGGTACCCCCATCATCACCAATCTTATCACCTGTGCCAAACTTAGATGAGGTTAGATACAAAACTGGTCCCACCATCATCACCAATCTTATCACCTGAAAAAAACTTAGATAAGGTTAGATACAAAACTTGTCCCACCATCATCACCAATCTTATCACCTGTGCCAAACTTAGATAAGGTTTGATACAAAACTGGTACAACCCCATCATCACCAATCTTATCACCTGTACCAAACTTTGATAAGGTAAGATACAAAACGTCCCACAATCATCACCAATCTTATCACCTGTACCAAACTAAGATAAGGTAAGATACTAAACTGGTACCCCCATCATCACCAATCTTATCACCTGTGCCAAACTTAGATTAGGTAAGACACAAAACTGGTGCCACAATCATCACCAATCTTATCACCTGAAACAAACTTAGATAAGGTAAGATACAAAACTGGTGCCACAATCATCACCAATCTTATCACCTGAAACAAACTTAGATAAGGTAAGATACAAAACTGGTACCACCATCATCACCAATCTTATCACCTGTGCAAAACTTAGATAAGGTAAGACACAAAACTGGTCCCACCATCATCACCAATCTTATCACCTGTACCAAACTAAGATAAGGTAAGATACTAAACTGGTACCCCCATCATCACCAATCTTATCATCTGAAACAAACTTAGATAAGGTAAGATACAAAACTGGTGCCACAATCATCACCAATCTTATCACCTGTACCAAACTAAGATAAGGTAAGATACTAAACTGGTACCCCCATCATCACCAATCTTATCACCTGTGCCAAACTTAGATTAGGTAAGACACAAAACTGGTACCACAATCATCACCAATCTTATCACCTGAAACAAACTTAGATAAGGTAAGATACAAAACTGGTGCCACAATCATCACCAATCTTATCACCTGTGCCAAACTTAGATAAGGTTAGATACAAAACTGGTACCCCCATCATCACCAATCTTCTCACCTGTGCCAAACTTAGATAAGGTTTGACACAAAACTGGTCCCACTGTCATCACCAATCTTATCACCTGTACCAAACTAAGATAAGGTAAGATACTAAATGGTACCCCCATCATCACCAATCTTATTACCTGTGCCAAACTTAGATAAGGTAAGACACAAAACTGGTGCCACAATCATCACCAATCTTATCACCTGTACCAAACTTAGATAAGGTAAGATACAAAACTGGTCCCACCATCATCACCAATCTTATCACCTGAAACAAACTTAGATAAGGTAAGTTACAAAACTGGTACCCCCATCATCACAAATCTTATCATCTGTGCCAAACTTAGATAAGGTAAGACACAAAACTGGTCCCACCATCATCACCAATCTTATCACCTGTGCCAAACTTAGATAAGGTAAGACACAAAACTGGTACCCCCATCATCACCAATCTTATCACCTGTGCCAAACTTAGATAAGGTTAGATACAAAACTGGTACAACCCCATCATCACCAATCTTATCACCTGTACCAAACTAAGTTAAGGTAAGACACAAAACTGGTCCCACCATCATCACCAATCTTATCACCTGTGCCAAACTTAGATAAGGTTAGATACAAAACTGGTACCCCCATCATCACCAATCTTCTCACCTGTGCCAAACTTAGATAAGGTTAGATACAAAACTGGTACCCCCATCATCACCAATCTTATCAATTGTGCGAAACTTACATAAGGTAAGATACAAAACTGGTCCCACCATCATCACCAATCTTATTACCTGTGCCAAACTTAGATAAGGTTAGATACAAAACTGGTACCCCCATCATCACCAATCTTATCACCTGTGCCAAACTTAGATAAGGTTAGATACAAAACTGGTACAACCCCATCATCACCAATCTTGTCATCTGTACCAAACTTAGATAAGGTAAAATACAAAACTGGTCCCACCATCATCACCAATTTTATCACCTGTACCAAACTTACATAAGGTTAGATACAAAACTGGTACCCCATCATCACCAATCTTATCACCTGTGCCAAACTTAGATAAGGTAAGATACAAAACTGGTCCCACCATCATCACCAATCTTATCACCTGTGCCAAACTTAGATAAGGTTAGATACAAAACTGGAACAACCCCATCATCACCAATCTTGTCATCTGTACCAAACTTAGATAAGGTAAAATACAAAACTGGTCCCACCATCATCACCAATTTTATCACCTGTACCAAACTTACATAAGGTTAGATACAAAACTGGTACCCCATCATCACCAATCTTATCACCTGTGCCAAACTTAGATAAGGTAAGATACAAAACTAGTCCCACCATCATCACCAATCTTATCACCTGTGCCAAACTAAGATAAGGTTAGACACATAACTGGAACCACCATTACCACCAATCTTATCACCGGTGCTAACTTAGATAAGGTTAGAATAACACATAACTGGTCCCAACATCATCACCAATCTTATCACCTGTGCCAAACTTAGATAAGGTTAGATACAAAACTGGTCCCACCATCATCACAATCTTATCACCTGTGCCAAACTTAGATAAGGTTAGATACAAAACTGGTACCCCCATCATCACCAGTCTTATCACCTGTGCCAAACTTAGATAAGGTTAGAGTAACACAAAACTGGTCCCACCATCATCACCAATCTTATCACCTGTGCCAAACTTAGATAAGGTTAGATACAAAACTGGTACCCCCATCATCACCAATCTTCTCACCTGTGCCAAACTTAGATAAGGTTAGATACAAAACTGGTACCCCCATCATCACCAATCTTATCAATTGTGCGAAACTTACATAAGGTAAGATACAAAACTGGTCCCACCATCATCACCAATCTTATTACCTGTGCCAAACTTAGATAAGGTTAGATACAAAACTGGTACCCCCATCATCACCAATCTTATCACCTGTGCCAAACTTAGATAAGGTTAGATACAAAACTGGTACAACCCCATCATCACCAATCTTGTCATCTGTACCAAACTTAGATAAGGTAAAATACAAAACTGGTCCCACCATCATCACCAATTTTATCACCTGTACCAAACTTACATAAGGTTAGATACAAAACTGGTACCCCATCATCACCAATCTTATCACCTGTGCCAAACTTAGATAAGGTAAGATACAAAACTGGTCCCACCATCATCACCAATCTTATCACCTGTGCCAAACTTAGATAAGGTTAGATACAAAACTGGAACAACCCCATCATCACCAATCTTGTCATCTGTACCAAACTTAGATAAGGTAAAATACAAAACTGGTCCCACCATCATCACCAATTTTATCACCTGTACCAAACTTACATAAGGTTAGATACAAAACTGGTACCCCATCATCACCAATCTTATCACCTGTGCCAAACTTAGATAAGGTAAGATACAAAACTAGTCCCACCATCATCACCAATCTTATCACCTGTGCCAAACTAAGATAAGGTTAGACACATAACTGGAACCACCATTACCACCAATCTTATCACCGGTGCTAACTTAGATAAGGTTAGAATAACACATAACTGGTCCCAACATCATCACCAATCTTATCACCTGTGCCAAACTTAGATAAGGTTAGATACAAAACTGGTCCCACCATCATCACAATCTTATCACCTGTGCCAAACTTAGATAAGGTTAGATACAAAACTGGTACCCCCATCATCACCAGTCTTATCACCTGTGCCAAACTTAGATAAGGTTAGAGTAACACAAAACTGGTACCCCCATCATCACCAATCTTATCACCTGTGCTAAACTTAGATAAGGTAAGATAGTAAACTGGTACCCCCATCATCACCAATCTTATCACCTGTGCCAAACTTAGATAAGGTAAGACACAAAACTGGTGCCACAATCATCACCAATCTTATCACCTGTGCCAAACTTAGATAAGGTAAGATACAAAACTGGTCCCACCATCATCACCAATCTTATCACCTGTACCAAACTTAGATAAGGTAAGATACAAAACTGGTCCCACCATCATCACCAATCTTATCACCGGTGCCAAACTTAGATAAGGTTAGATACAAAACTGGTTCCCCCATCATCACCAATCTTCTCACCTGTGCCAAACTTAGATAAGGTAAGATACAAAACTGGTCCCACCATCATCACCAATCTTATCACCTGTGCCAAACTTAGATAAGATTAGATACAAAACTGGTACCCCCATCATCACCAATCTTATCACCTATTCCAAACTTAGATAAGTTTAGAATCACATATAACTTTTGTCCATATCATTTTTGGTCCAGGGGCTTCAATGGCCTATATAGAGGTCATAGTTCATCTACATTGATTACTAGCTTTTCAACGCTGCTGTGGTGAGTTCAATTTAGGCACCCAGGCTCATTCCATTGAGTGCTGAAAAAGGTGTTGAACACCAAAAATCAATGAATCATATTTCAATTTAACAAAAAAATGGACTGACAATGACCTCCTTAGCATTGTCACCAAATTTGAATCGAGTAGCCCTTAATTCAAGTTACTTGTGACAAACTTAAAAAAAATTTCACTGGAACTCATCTAACACAACAGATTCTTTAATTATAGTTTCCCTAGACATACATGTATAAGAATGTCTTTATATTTTAAAAAAAAACAGAATTTGGAATATGTAAGTCGATTTGCATGTCATCACAGTATATGGAAGGAAAAGATCTCTGTTTAAATTTGAGTCAGTAGATATCATTGCAAATAAAATAAGTTTTGTTTATTTATTTCTTTTAGGATCACGACCATGTTTTATCACAGTCTTTATCAACAGAGAGTTGTTCAATATCAGAGTACTATGATGCCGAGGAGTTCCGAGAGTCAGCCAGTGAATCATCATCTGAGGTGTGTATGGATCAAATTCCATCAGAAATTTATTTAAGCGTTCTTTAGTAGAAGCATTGTCAATATGGAGCAGTCCTTAACCATGACACAATTATTTTTCCAAATAAGGAAACAAAAGCTGTGAATGGTTTCAAAGATTATTTTTGAAAACATCAAACTAGAATATTATCTATGGTCTGTTATTTCTGTAGACACTTTGTGGTTTGTTATTTCTCTATTCGTTTGTTATTTCTCTAGTCACTTTGCGGTCTGTTATTTCTCTAGTCACTTTGCAGTCTGTTATTTCTCTAGTCACCATGCAGTCTGTTATTTCTCTAGTCACATTACAGTATCTTATCTTTCTGTCTGTTATTTCTCTAGTCAATTTGCAGTCTGTTATTTCTGTCTGTTATTTTTTTAGTCACTTTGCAGTCTGTTATTTCTCTAGTCACTTTGTAGTCTGTTATTTCTCTTGTCACTTTTTGGTCTTTTACTTTTGTAGGCACTTTGAGGTCTGTAATTTCTCCATTCACTTTATTGTCTGTTATTTCTCTAGCAACTTTGTGGTTTGTTTTTCTCTAAATTTATTAAATCAACCACAATTTCAATTTTCAGCTTTTGTATACGGTAAGAAAAACAAAATGACTTATTAATTCTATCACCTAGATTTTTTTTCAAATTATTTGGAGTTTTGAATTATCTCAGTTTCAAGGTTTAATTATTTTAACCCATTAATTTGTTTACGTTTTAATTATGTAACACTCAGAAACCTGTCCATCAACCCAAATGTGTCCAATACCCTAAACATGTCCATATGATGTCACTGAACTCCAAAACTTGTCTAGTTGATGAAAGATGTCAAGACATGTCCTTTTTATGAATACTCAAATGTGTCCAGACTTTAAAAACGCCCAAACATGTCTGTCTTTATCAAAAAGTTATTTTTAATCACATTATGTTGTTTGAAAACAATTCCAGTCGACAATTTTACAGGGAGCTTAGACCCAGTCTAAAAGGGTAAGAATAGAAAATTCTGGATTATGTAATCTATGCTAATTTTCGAAGAGATGATGTTTTCTTTTTCTGGGGAAAAAAAAGGGTTGTTGGTCAGTAGCTAATTTTAGGATTGTATGAAAATAGCCACATGATGTCAAATGAAAAATGTGGGCTCTGTCCCATTTGAAAATTTCCCTGCTAAAACACTGTCTGAGTACTTTTCATGAATTCAATTTTTTCCCCATCTCAAAATAAAGTTGCGCATTTAAAATAGCTTCTATTTAAATTTTACCATTACTGCAATATTACAAAATCTCCACTTTTGATTTTCTTCTTTTAACCTCCGTAACTTTTTGTTTTAATTTTCGGGAGACGTGCCCAAAATACATCTGCATTGATGTACTCAGATAGTTGATTTAAATTATTTTGCACTCCAGCAGAAACCCAACATCTGCATGCATTTGTTTCTCTGTGATATATTTTGATTTTGCCATAGACGTTACTGACATCACGTGCACTGAGGAGATATAAGGGCTAAAAATTTTGAAAAGTTGTGGCGTCTTAAAGTGAACATGTTTCAGCTGATATAAATTATCAGACAGATTTGGGCAAGAAAAAATGGGACACATTTGAGCGAAGTAAATAAGTGGTGAAGTAATATTGGACAGGTTTGAGCGATTTTTTATTTTAAGGACACGATAGAGAGAAATAGACACATTTCTGAGGATGGATATGTTTGAGAGTGTTACGAATATTATCATTCTTTTGTTGGTTTAAATTGTATTTATCCTCTCCAAACTGATGGAAAACATTATGGTCTTACAACTATATGCCAGAAATTTATACATATATTATTTTAATGCTTTTGATTCTTTTACAGGTGTGAAATTTTATTCCCAAATTTCTCTGAATCCTAAAATTCTTATTCCCGAATTTCTCTGAATCCTAAAAATCTGTAAATTGTCTAGTCTTAACTTCAGTCCTGCATTTTCTTTTTATTTATACAAATTAGTGAAAGTATATTGACTGCATTTATTTCATAATGCATTTTTGTCCCCAACACAAAACTGTGCCCTGGACATGCAAATACCAGGAGTCCATGCATGTGTCTGTGCAACTGACCATGTGTCCATGCATCCATCCGTTTATTACAGGATTGTCTTGGACAAGATTGAAAATCAGTGCTTATCAATTATTTTTACAGGACTTATGTCCCTTGGAAATGTAAATTCTTTTATAGAAAATTACTAGGTTAGCTCTTTCAAGTGTACAATTCTTGCCAGATTTATATGAAATTTATATCAAAGGTTTATATCAGCAATGTCTAAGACGAGTAGGAAAATTAGTGCCAATCATCTATTTATAAAGTAGTTATGTCCCTTGGAAATATAAATCATATAGAAAATTGCATTGTAAGTGCTATTAAGCTTACATTTCTTGTAGGATTGTTAAATAACTATATATATCAAAGGTTTATATCATCAATGTCTTGGACAAGTTCAAAAATCAGTACTAATCAAGTTTTGCTCCTACAGTGACCTCGCCTGCCCGAAAAGAAGGGTGGCTTTCTTGGTGTCCTTAACCCCACCCTTCTGCCTTCCAAAACAAAAAAGGTCAACCGTCTTCCCTCCAAAGCAAAAAAGATAAATCTTCTGCCTTTTCAAAATTAACTTTTCAAATAATAATAAATAACATGTAATTCTGAGTATCTGCTAAATTAATTACCTGATTGTTTGAACATTCTAATAAACTGACAATGACATACAGGTACACATTACCTAGTCTTTGACAGTTTTATCACCTCTATTGATGATTGAATTCTGCTAATTAGGTGATTAAATATTTTTGAATACTTGATATTTAATACGAAATGAAAATATCTGTGTGTGTTTCACTCATAATGGTTATGTACAGCATGTACACCTGAACAACTTTGTTTAAGTACACATTAAATCGTATTTCTTGTATAACAATATTAATGGCATACAAAGTTTTGACTATATTAGGTAAAATAGAAAATGTTCCGTTTTTACTCTGTTTGAAAGAAAATCACATTTTGAACATAACCAAGATTGCATCACAGCCTCTTTTACCTCTCTATAATACTCCTTACTTGGGAGCACTTAACAAATACTAATTTGTAATAATTATGGAGAAAAAAAGTAACTGTCAATATATACCTTATACAATTTATGCATCAATATGATTGTATTATCTCAAGTTTCACCTCTTGATCTTATATTTATAATACTCCTTTTTTAGGAGCACTTTGGTGTGCATATAAAAATACTTATTTGTAATAATTATCGAAAAAAAGTATTTGCTAATGACATATACTGTATCATGTTTATGTTTGAACAAGTAATTTAAATATAAATAAAATTATTTCTTAAAAAAATCAATTTTGCATTTATATCATCAACTTTCAAATTTATGTATTTAATTTAATAAACTGGTAACAGTACCAAAACATTCAACTTTCTGATGAAAGTTTTCTCTACCAGATTTACATTATATTTAGATTATAATTAAAACTAATATGCTTTGCTTTATGGTATAGTAATATGATAACATATATTTTAAACTGGAACCAAAACAAAGAACAAAATAATTTTTAAATATACTTAAAATACAACTATTGTTCTCTAGTTGAGCCTTGCAATAATTAATTTTGTTTTTAGGGAGTGTGCCAATAGCCCAATATTGTAAAATTTGTCAAAAATTCTTAAAATTGGTACACTTTCTATAATTAGGGTATATTTCATCAACACTGTTCAACAGTGCCCTAATAATTTGGCTGATTGCGCCCTTCTTGTGTCTAGCACCCTTCTGGCTGCCCTGAAGCTGGGACAAGCTAGGATTGTGATGAAATTTATATCAAGGGTTTATATCAGAAATATTTCGGTCAAGTAAGAAAAACAAACAACTTTTTTTTCAAATAGACATGCCCCTTGGACATAAATTATAGGGAAAATTGCATTGTAAACGCTCTCAAGCTTTTCTTTTCATTATAACAAATGCATTTGATTAAACTGGTCAATTTATTTAACTTTATTTTACTTTAAAACCTATATTTTTACAAAAAATGGACTTTTAGGCAGCCTTTTCAAAAATACATATTAAATAAGCTTATCACCATGTTTGTATATGACTCAAAGTGTTTATTTTAGTGTCTATGTTTAGTATAATAATATCTTCTGATATTGATAGTTTTATACGTTCTCAATCCAAACAAAACACAGTGGAGTAGTTTAGCCTAGTTTAGTTCAGTTACTTATAATGGCATTGTGAGCCTGATCTAACATATGCATTGTTCCCTATGATTATACTGTAACAACATAAGCTTAATTGAGTTGGAATTGGGTTTACATTCAGTAAGCTATGAATATGTATTTGGATATAATTTCTGAAATGAATTTTTTATGATTTTATGTTTTGTAGCAATCCGATGAAGATGAAATTTCAAGTGAAGAGAATGACACAGATTATACTGCTGTTCATAGTGGTAGATATACATATACATAAACATATACATATACATATACATATACATTCATGTACACATTCATATACACATATAAACATACAAACATATACACATTCATATAACATACATGTACACATACATATATACATACACATATATACAGATATACACATACATTTTTGTCTGATCATGATCAGGAGGATGACCTTTATTTAAAATTTAAATACAAATATTGGTTGTGTTAGGCACATGTATATCATTTTGAATTTTTAATCAGTTATCACAGGCAATCGTTCTTATCAATAAATTACAGGATATCTTGAACATCATCCAGATTTGGCTTTAATTCTGATATTTCTAAACAGAATGATTCCACAGTACCCACATATATAGTCAAGAGGGTCTTAAAGGGGGTATGTGCATGGGTGAACAAGAAATAAAATGGCCATTTTACATCAAGATTTTTATAAAAGCTTACGCTTTACTTTTTTACAAATGTGCAGAAAACATGGTGAATAATTAGCTTCAGGCAGGAACACTTGTAAAATGTATACTCCAATCAAATAATTCTTTACAGACCGCGTTTGAATAGAGAAAATCAATTAGTTTCTTTCTAATACATTTCAGTATCCGAAGACCAGTTATCAGATTCCTTTGAGACGGGGAGGAGATCTAAGTTACCGGTTCCTAAACCAGACACCGGTGATATAAGTCTATGGAATCTCTTGTATAAAAATATTGGAAAAGATCTGTCAAAAATATCCATGCCAATCACACTGAACGAACCACTGAGTATGCTACAGGTAGGCAGATAAGAATAGTACATTTTATACAGGAAAATATGATAGTTTACACAGATAAATACCAAGTGAATGATTCAATTTTCTGCTAGATTACTTTTTCAATGATTGCCCATTTATCCTTAAAGAATTACTCTTATTCAAGACTAGAAAATTTTAGATTCAGTACATGTATTTTAGTATTTTATGATTAATGTCTGGTAAATTTGAATGGACTTAATTTGACTCATACCATTTTTACCATGGATCAGTTATGTATCGGTAGTCAAAGTTTCTCTGAGATAGAATGATGGATTTCAGTATAAATAGATGTGATTAAGGTTTGATAAGTTTAAGTATAATTTACTGGACATAAATTATAATGTCTGGAAATTTTCAATTTAGTGGCTGTCACCATTTTTATACGCCCGTTTACAGGACGTTTTATGGTATACCCTTGTCCGTCCGTTTGTCGTCAACATGTCGGACAATAACTCAAAAATGCTTTAACCAATTTGCATGAAACTTTGGTGAATTGTTTATATTTATTGACGAGAGCTCCCTTTCATTTTTTATAAATTTTAGATCTTAAGTTTCCGAGTTATGGGGTTTTATTCATTAAAAAAGAGGGATTTTCCAGTTTTCGGACAAAAACTCAGCAATTTGCAAGAAACTTTGGCGAATTGTTTATATCTATTGACATGAGCTCCCTTTCGAATTTTATAAATTTTAGATCTTACATTTCTGAGTTATGGGGTTTTATATATTAAAAAAAAGGGTGATTTTCCAGTTTTCGGACAATAACTCAAAAATGCTTTCAGCAATTTTCATGAAACTTTGGTGAATTGTTTATATCTATTGACATAAGCTCCCTTTTCAATTATTATAAATTTTAGATTTTACGTTTCCGAGTTATGGGATTTTATTCATAAAAAAAGGGGTGATTTTCCAGTTTTCGGACTATATCTTTAAAGTACTTTGAGGAGTTTGCATGAAACTTTGGTGACTGGTTTATATCCAGTTTTTCATAAATTTCTGGTATGACATTGAGAAGTTATTGAACTTTATTCTTTTAAAAAGCAACGGGCTTATCATGCGCTCATGGCACAGCTGTTTATTACTGCTAAATTTACCATATGCAAACATTTTTTTGTGATTTTTATTGCATCGTAAAAGCATGAAACATTTACAATTAACATAGTGAAGATTTAACTGCCAATTCTAAGGCCCAAACCACAACATAAACTTAACACTAGAATAGCAGGATATAAGCATGGTGTATTCAATGCACAGCAGGTTGGATAACATCCCTTGGGTCCTCCTAGTGCCTGAAAATGTCAAATATACTTTACCTGACCTTAGTAACTTGACCATTGCTCTTCAGGTCAATGCTTTTACACCCCAATATAATTACAAATAGAAGCATTCAATTCTTTAGTATAATGAATTTATAGAAACTGGAGAGTTTATATATGAATAAAATGAAATTAAGAAAAAATCGGATAATTTTTTATAAGTATAAAAATGATACATGTTTGAAAATATATATAAAATTAGGAGATGTGGTATGATTGCCAATGCTTAATTGCTTTAATTTTATTTCAGAGGTTATGTGAAGAACTTGAATACAATGAATTGATAGAAAAAGCTGTTGGTCTAGAAGATCCTTATGAACGAATGGTTGGTTTTTAAAATTTTTATTTAGCATCCTAGTATCAGTATGTCCTTAAATTCCTTTCAAATTTTGTTTTCATTTATCTCAGAGGCTTAAAATTTTGGATAAAGCTTCATATGATCATTCTATACTGTGTGATAGGTTTCACTTTCATCACTCATCAACTTCCTTCTCACCGAATACTTGTAGTGGTGGTATTGCTCACAGCTCTCAAATTGTTCTTGTGTGAATTACAACTGGAATCTTCTATATAGGAGAATCTATGGAAAAAAATATTTTACTAAGAAAGAATAAAAGGGTGAAATTTATTCTTTTTTTTTTCTTCATTTTTGCCTATTATCTTGAAAATTATAATAGATAGTGAGAATCTTTAAAAGCAAAAATTATCAGCAAGATAATGTCTACAAATAAGTCTAATGGTAGAATTCTTCAGTCAGTTTGATATTGGAGTCATTGCTCTTTAAAGGCGTTTTAACCAATTGTTAGTATTTTTGCCTATTGTATTATCTTCAAAACTATAATAGATAGATAGACACTTTAAATAGCAAACACAATCAACAAGACAAGATCTACAAATAAGTCAACAGGGATGAAATCGTCAGTCAACTCATTTTTGGAGTTTTTGCCCATTAATTTTTACCAATTTCTAAGTTTTTCTATTATATGAAAACTATTATAGATCTATAGATAGACACTTTAAATAACAAAAATGATCAACAAGGCAAGATTTAAAAATAAGTCACCATGATAGAAAATGTTAGTCGACTCATTATTAGAGTTCTTGCTCTTTAATGATGATTTTAAACATGTTTTGGTGTTTTTAGCCTGTTTATGGAACGTTTTATGGTATACTGTTGTCCGTCCGTCCGTAGTCAACATGTCGGACAATAACTCAAAAATGCTTTAACCAATTTGCATGAAACTTTGGTGAATTGTTTATACCTATTGATGTAAGCTCCCTTTTAATTTGCATAAATTTTAGATTTTAAGTTTCCAAGTTATGGGATTTTATTCATAAAAAAAGGGGGATTTTTCAGTTTTCAGACAATAACTCAAAAGTGCTTTGAGCAGTTTTCATGAAACTTTTGTGACTGTTTTATTTCTATTAAAATAACCTCCCTTTAGTTTTTTTATAAATTTCTGATATGACATTGAGGAGTTATGGAACTTTATTCTTTGAAAAAGCGACGGGCGTATTGCTTATTATCTTGAAAACTGTAAAAGGTAAATAGAAACTTTAGATAACAAAAATGATCAGCAAGACAAGATCTACAAGTTAGATAAATTTTTTTGAAATAGTAGACTCTTTATAGGAATGATTGCCTGTAAATGATGATTTCTTTTACTCTCTTTTATGTTTTGGGAAAAAACTTAAGAAGTTTGAGAGAAATTATAAACAGAAAAATTATCCTCAAAAAAAGATCAACAAAAAATGAGTTTTTGTCATGAATTATATTCTATATATCTGAAAAATGATTCAACCATTCTACAGAGAAACAAAATGTTAGAATTTGGAATTTTACTCAGTAAGAATTTGGCAGATGATAAAAACTCTTAACGAAAAACACTTTTATAAACTACATGACAGATTTTGACTCTGTGTATATATGAAACCATTAATTGGTCTTGCAAATTCTATTTTATATAGTAAGGAATCAATTTCTGATTATTCTGTGAAAAATCAACGTAGGTATACTTCGATAACATTAGAAGTACAAAATAATATGTTTTAAAAAAAAAAAATTTTGATGTAAAACCAATCTCATATGACATGATATTGGTGTAATTTCTGCTTCTTTCAATTCTTGAATAAGGAATCATCGGGATTCTCACAAACAAGGCTAATAAAAAAGACAGATGGTAAATTAAAGATTAAAGGAAAAAAGAAGTCAGTCACTTAAACTGGTACTTGTGTGACTTTATATTTTTTTTACAGATCCATGTAGCTGCATTTGCTGTCAGTAGTTATGCAAGTACAGGGTACAGAGCTGGGCACAAACCTTTCAACCCACTGCTGGGTGAGACGTATGAATGTGATAGGCCAGACAAAGGCTGGAGATTTGTGGCAGAACAGGTAAGGAAGGACCCACTGCTGGTTGAAAATGCATGCAAGATGACACGATCCTATGCACAGCCCTAGGTAAATTTGTGTAGAATTTCAAAAAGAAGACAAAAGAGTAACATTTTAGTTTTGTTTCAAACTATAGATAAGCAATCTGAATATTTATACCAAAAGTAATTGGTTGCAATGATTCAACAGCAAACATTCAATTAATACAAGGTAAAGAGCAATCAATTAATAAAATTTATTATATACTTAGTAGTAAATACAGATAAATTGTATGTGTAATACAATCATTTGCAAGGTCTTTGCATCGGAAATAAACACATTTATTCTAAAACCAGTTGTTGGCATGATACAGGTTATGTTCTTCTCATATATTTTATGATGGTATGATACTAAACCCCTAACGGGAGGGATTGTACTTGATTTTCATATGATGAAGACATAATCTTTCAATCAGTTTAATTGAGGTCTGGAGCTGGCATGTCAGTAACTGCTAGTAGTCCTTTGTTCATTTATGTATCATTGTCATTTTGCTTAGTTTCTTTTGTTACCTATTCTGACATCGGACTCTGACTTCTTTTAAACTGAGTTTTATTGTGCATATTGCTACGTGTTTCTTTTTTCCACATTGACTAGAGGTATAGGGGAGGGTTGAGATCTCACAAAACATGTTTAATCCCGCCGCATTTTTGCGCCTGTCCCAAGTCAGGAGTCTCTGGCCTTTGTTAGTCTTGTATGTTTTTTAATTTTTGTTCTTTTATATGTTTTGGAGTTTAGTGTGACGTCCATTTTCACTGAACTAGCACACACTTTTATTTAGGGGCCAGCTGAGGACCACCTCCGGGTGCAGGATTTTCTTGCTGCATTGAAGACCCATTGGTGGCCTTCGGCTGTTGTCTACTCTTTGGTCGGGTTGTTGTCTCTTTGACATATTCCCCATTTCCATTCTCAATTTTATGTATCAGCCACTTGTGATGATATCGATATCAGCACGGTTGCAAAGGCTTTATCAAACCCCTTATTTGTATGACGTCATGTCATTACGTCATAACGCTACTTTTTCAAAGATGGACGATCTTGACGGTGGTAATGTAGCAAACTTTGAAATTTTTTCAAATATTATATGGCATTTTCAATATCACACACCGTATCAACCCTCAACCAATATAATCCCTCGAGCAGAGCTCTCATGATTATATTGGTGTCTCAGGTAGATACAGGTGTGATATTGAAAATGCCATATAATATTCTCTATTAATTTCTAATGATATGTAAAAAGGGTATCACAAACTACCAGAAATATTGAACAGTACACATGACCACACTAACCACCAACACCTAAACAATAGACATACAAAGAAAACCACAATGAACAACACGAGGTATTCATAGCCTGACTTGGTACAGTCACAAAATGTGTTAGGGTTGAACCAGTTTCTGACTATTTCTAAATTACCTATTATGAGTTTTCTTTGATTTTAATTGCAGGTTAGCCACCATCCTCCAATATCTGCTTGTTACTGTGATTCTAAAAACTTTATATTTTGGCAAGGTGAGTTATAATGACAACAGTAGTTATTTCTAACACTACACTAAACTTTTTAAAGACCTGTTTTTGGGGTAAAGATTGCATTTTAAACCCTTATGGAGCTGGCTAGATAGCTATTAATTTTCCAAACTTTATCACTACTTTTGAGATACAGAAATATTGTGCATTCAGCACAACTTTCTATACATCCTATCTATGAACATTTTTAAGAAATTTATCAATGAAATGTACACTCAGATATTCAAGTTACAAAAGTATAGGTATGTGAGTAGCCATACTTGTCAAGAAATGAACATAAATTGCACATAGTGTATTGTTAAAGTGATATTTAAAATTGGAGTTATCTACCTTTGTCCATACTTGTAGTTGACCCTTTCTATGCTTAACTCAGTGCTAGTTTTAGTTCCCTGTGCAAAATGAATGCAATCTTTACCCTTCAGTGCTCACAAGGACTTTGATTGTCTTTGATACAACTCCAAATGAGGAACATAGAAATACTAGGAATCTTTATGTATGCCAGTAAGTCCAGTCTTGTAAAAAATGAAAAAAACTTATTCTAAATTGACTGAAGTGCTTTTTTTCATCAACAACACTCAAACTAAATATTTGAGTGCCAAGGATGTATATGTACCAAAACAAGTGAAGAGCTACATGACCAAAAGGATGATAAAAATAATTGCCATATCCATCTAAGGAAAGCTTTGTAACACACAAATTAAGCCAGTATTTTCTGATACTTATACCAAAGATTTATATCAGCAATGTCTCTGAATAGTTTGACAATCAGCACAGATCAACTATTTTTACAGGAGGTATGCCTCTTGGAAATAGAAACTACATGGACAATTACATTGCAAGTAATCCTTGTAGATTATACAAAAAAGCATTTAAGAACAAAATAATATATATTACGTAGAGTTATTGCCCTTGGACAGATAGAATATGTGTATCTGTGTGGGACATTGGAACAATATAAAATTTATACTGTAATTACCTATAATGGTATTGACATTTAACTATATATTTAATTCTGCATTTTTCCTAGATACAAAATTTATAGAAACTGTTAGATTTAAACCACAATTTTTATTCATACATGTATTTAGTGCAGGCACAATAACGAGTTTTATTATTATTTTCAGAAACTCGTATAAAGACAAGATTTTGGGGGAAATCTATGGAAATACAACCTGTTGGCATTGTCAATCTAGTTCTTCCAAAGTAAGTTTTATTTCTGTGTTGGTTTTATTGATGTATAATCTAGATTGCCCACATTTTTTGTCAGGATTGTCATTATTGACACCAACATCTTTCATATATGGATTTGATGAAGATTTATGTATACATATAAAAATAAGATGTGATATGATTGCTAATGAGACAACTCTCCACAAGAGACCAAATGACACAGAAGTTAATAACTATAGGTCACCTTACGGCCTTCAACATTGAGCAAAACCCGTACAGCATAGTAAGTCAGTTGCAGGCTATACAATTACTTAACTTTTCCTTGAATAAAACTCGAGACATTTCACTCTATGTAAATGAACAAGTTTATTTTTTTTAGCTTTGGGTCATCTGTTTTTTTTTTAAATATGTACTTGGTGGAAGGCACAGTAAAGTGTAGCTCTTATTTTGACTATTCCTGTGTTTTTGTGGAGATTGAATTTTTACATGCATTGCCAACTGTGAAATCTTATAATCTCAATTCGGTCTGTCTGTCTCTCTGTCTGTCAGAATGATCTTCTTGGCTTCTATGAAAGGGAATTATTTTATATTTGGTCTACATCTTGGTAATGATGTATTGTTGCAATTTTAGATCTGCCGTGCAGCTACTTTATGTTTGCAAAAAGATGATTTTTCTTAAAAATTGTGTTTAAATAGCAACTCCAATGCTGATAGAGAAAAATCAGACACTGCATACTACTATTTTATCATCAGGAAAAAAAATGAGATTTAGTTATGCCTCAGTAACAATTTTGACCGTAGAAAGGCTTGTATAGTCCGCGGTTTTATTCTCCAAAATTGGACCTTCCAGACGGGGTGCGGACTATAGAGTACAATAAGCAAGAAATAAGAGAAAAATTTCAATTTCGTAGGCGAGATGGTTTGTTTACGTTCCGCCATCTTTGTTATTTATATTGTAGAGGGTGCTCTTATCATTTTTCAAACTAATAATTTTAACTCATCCATATTAATAAGTTATTCCTATTCAATATCAAATTGATACTGATAAGTATAAAAACTAAACCTTTCATTACAAATTTCTCGTTTCTTTTCAATGCATTGGTTGAAATAAACTGGTATCTGCTTGATTGAAACGATTCAAACATAGTGAAAAAGACAACCGTAAACCAGCTTAGAATTTGTAAACTACAAAACGTAATCGGTTATTGTTCGTTCCGTTTTCGTGTTTCATACTGACTAATATTGTTTGTATTAGCGTAAGACCCTTCAAACATTAATGTGATAGATATATTAAAGACTGTTTTACTTTCAAAGTTGTATTATAGTGATATCTGTTATGTACGGATTTCGACTCTCACCGGTTAATTTCTTCTTTTACACGTGCTTTTTAAACTTCCTGTTTAAACATACACAAGTTTCTAAATTGTTTTTTAAGTGAATTAAACTTATTTTAACAATCATGAAGCGTTCTAGAATCATTTACAAGCAGTTTCAGCTTCTGATTGATGATGGAAAACAGGTTTTTCCAAGAAAATACTGCAAACGACCGCACAGGATTTGAAATTACCGGAGTTTCATTAGACCTTTTCTAACAGTTACAAAAAGTTTTTTTACCTAAAATTTCGTGGGGAGAAGGGGTTGCGGACTATGTACCAGTGCGAACTATACAAGCCTTTCTACGGTATTCATATTTTAGGTGGAATGAGCAATATAAATGGAACAAAGTTACCACATGTGTTCATAACTTGCTGGGGGGTCAAAGATGGGTGGATCATTACGGAGAGGTCAATATCACCTGTGGAGACATCACCTGTAAACTTACATTTAAAAAGGTGAGTAGAGATAGAGTGATCACTATGGAGAGGTCAACATCACCTGTAAAAGAGAAACAAAAGTTACCAAAGGTACATTCAAATTCATAAGTCGAAAATAAACTGACAACATCAGTGCTAAAAAAGAAAAAGACTAGCAGACAAACAACAGTAGACAAAACACAACATAGAAAACTAAAGACTGAGCAATACGAACTCCACCAAAAACTGGAGGCAATCTCAGGTGCTCCGGACAGGTAAGCAGATCCTGCTCCACAAGTGGCACCCATCGTGTTTCTCAATTTAGTACAAACCCAGTGATAAGTCTAATTAGGGGAAAAGGGGACAGGATTATAGTTACAACAATTGGAACATATACGATGTCACCTGTTATTCCATAAAGGTCAACCAAGTCATGATGGTGTAAATGACATCATTACTGCTATAATGAATCTGGACGTTTTGATTTTGTACTTAACTAATGGTTTTAAATGGTTTTTAATCATCAAATGTTTATTAAAATTCATGACATTCAATTTTGTGGATGTTAATGGTCAATATGGACCCTTGACTGTTTAATCTATCAGAAATGAAATTTGTAGTCTACTCAAACTACTCAAAACTCTATTTCTAGAATATTTCTTTAAGAAGGACAGTACATTGTTTTAGGGTAAAGAATCGGACACATATTTTTTCGCCTAGTAAACAATTTTTTTCCTTTCATTTTTACCCTGAAAGCAGCAATCACAAGGGAGACACAGTGTTTTGCAGAAACCATCACACTTTTTTTCTCCCATTTAATAAAGTTTGTGATTAAATATTCTAAATAGCAGAAAAAAATTATTTTAATATTTGATGTTAACTTTTTTCTGTATTATTTGTAGGCTAGCAGCTGGTCCTCAAAAAGACATGAGATCCATGGTCATATAAATAATCCTGAAGGGAAGGTTGTCCATCATCTGTCAGGGAAGTGGAATGAAGCATTATACTGTGGTAGTCATCATGGTGGTCATCATCATCATCAGGCCACCAGTAAATTAGTATGGAGACCTGGTAAGTAGGGAATACAAGGGTAAAGTGGTTATCTTAGGGGTAGGTTCATATAGGGGCTGAAGGACCTTTTTCGGAACATCATGAGTGGGCCTTTATCTCTGTGGAATATGAGATTTATAATAATCGAGACTTGGGAATTAATGATTGATTTTTCAGGATCTGAGAAAGCATACTTTATTTTTTCCGGGAATTCAGGATTCAGTATGATACCCCTCCCACACCATCTACATAGGCTCTGAGTAAAGTTACTCCTTAAGGTTCCACTAAAGTCAAAATATAGGACACTTCATAAACATCTAAACTTTGCCTGTATTTTTCAACCTATAATGAGTAAAGTCCTAAACTATGAGAACATATGTTCATTTAAACATACTTAACATATACACACTGTGTAAATTGTAAATAAACTTGAAATTGTTATGCTGTGGCCAAACTGGTTCTTGGGGTGAACACTAATTTTTCAAAAAAATCTGGAGGCCTGCGAGACGACTTAATTTGTTTAAAATTGGTATGAACGAATACTGTTATATCTAATGCAGGGCAAGCTCATGTTGATTTTTCAGAAAATTTATTAATTTTCGAGTTTCAGTTAATTTCATGTATCTAGGTGAACACATATCGAAGTTACAATACAGAAATTGGACAAATATGCCATTAAGTCATATGAATGTGACAAATCAACATGAGCTTGCCCTGCATTACATGTAACAGTATTCGTCCATACCAATTTTAAGCAAATTAAGTCGTCTCGCAGGCCTCCAGATTTTTGTGAAAATTTAATGTTCACCCCAAGAACCGGTTTGGCCACAGCATAACAATTTCAAGTTTATTTACAATTTACACAGTGTGTATATGTTAAGTATGTTTAAATGAACATATGTTCTCATAGTTTAGGACTTTACTCGTTATAGGTTTAAAAATACAGGCAAAGTTTAGATGTTTATGAAGTGTCCTATATTTTGACTTTAGTGGAACCTTAAGGAGAAATGTACTAATTAAGGAGTATTTACTTTTTAGCAAAAATAACTTTTTGAAGTTATTGGGGCAAACAGCTGCTTATTTTTTTTTAAGAAACCTAAATCATATATGTTTTGTCTTTTGTCTTTTGTAATTGCAATTTGGTTCTCTAAGAGAAGAACAAATTGTCAACATTGAAAAGAGGAACAAATTGAAAATTACTTTTCATGGAAAAGAGAACTAAATTATATGTTGAAATTTCCTCTAAATGAAGGTATTACCATTGCAGTATTCTAGGACGTTTTGACTATTTTGTTTAGGAAACAATTTTCACAGCTTCACGTAACAAACTACTGCTTGGGGACTATTTGCTGAAAGTTAAAAAGGCTGAAATTTATTTGGTCTGGTAAATGGTCCTTTAATAAATGTATTTATGTTTTCAAACAGGTGCTATGCCAGATGATTTTGAGCTGTATTATGGCTTTACAAGATTTGCAATAGAATTAAATGAATTAGACCCTGATGATTCAAAGACACTGCCACCAACAGATACAAGGTTCAGACATGATCAAAGGTAATAAGTATTTTGGATAATTTTCATGATAAAGTAATAGTTCTTAAGTAACATAGATGACAAAGATGTTATTGCCAGTAGAACAGTTGCTTTTAAGGTGGTACCCAACACCTTGACTAATATTAATTTGGCTCGTTTAATTTTCCTAAAATTTTGACAAAATGTTTACTTTGACCCTTTGACAAAAATATAAAAATTTCAAATAATTTGAACCAACCACTTTATCAGAAAAATTTCACTGGTTATATAGCAGTTTGACAAACACTAATTTTGATCATTGAGAAGCTTAATATTTCCTTAACAATACAACGTAATTAAAACGTTTAGTTGATTTATACAGAGTTATCTCCCTGTAGTGTTAGGTACCACCTTAAATGGCTCATTATTGAGCTATGTAATGTTGATTGAAGTGTGTAAGCAATATTTACTTCTACTGCATATGCAGCCACTACCTTATGCCAAAAGTTTGAAATTTTACAATCATTTTACATTTCAAATTTTCTCCCTTAATCATTGAAAGGACTTTATTCAAGGCCAATTAAATATAGTTTTGGAAATCAACTTCATCAGTAATGCTTCAGTACACATGTTATCTCAATAAATTGCATGCAGCATCGTTGGTCCAGACCCAGTATTGGTCTTGTTTCTTTTGGCTATGGTCATGTATGTCTTCTTCAATCTTTGATTTTGATTGTGGCCCATAGGTATCTTCTCCCTTTATTTTATTCTTCATTGTTCTCATTGTTGCAGTAATTTAAGACTGTCAATTTAACTTAGTTTATAATTTCATATTCTAAAGTTCTCAAAATCAACACTTAATATGTGGACTAATGTTATTCAAAATTCACATTATTGAACAGGAAGAATATGAAATATTCATAAATTCGCAGATTTAATAATTCAATTATTAAATTTTTATATTAAAATAATTACATTACATGTATGTTTCATGGCTTACAGCAATCTCGCGTCATTCTGAAATCAACCTTCATTTCCAAATGAAATGTAACATTCATGATGACACGAGCTTCCATAATAAAGTGCACAGGTAAAATAAAAGAAAAACTTGTTAGAAATCGTGCTTTCATGATCCTAGCCCAAAAAATGTAATTACAAGCATTGAATACTTCTTTTAGTAATTTTATAGGGTTGTAAAAGCATTGACCGTGCAGACATTTTTATAATGAAGCGCTTCAAACAAAATGTACTTCGGTCAACACTTTTACACCCCAATAAATTTACAAAAAGAAGCATTCAATTCTTAATTATATTTACAATTTTAGATTATTGGAGGAAGGGAAGATTCATGAAGCTGAGAATGAGAAGACAAGGTTAGAACATCTGCAGAGAGAAAGAAGGAAGAAAGGAGAGACAGAAGGATTTGATTACAGTCCTATGTGGTTTAAGTAAGTGAAAGTTACATAGCTACATTTTAAAATCCATCAACAAATTACTGTTAACCAACTTATTTTATAGCCCATTTCGCGGTGATTTAATTTCGTGATTTTGAATATTTTTGATGTAGTTAAATAAGGAAAGATCCAAGTTTTACATGTTCGCGACGATTTATATTCGAGTTATTTTTCTACTTGCGAAAAACTTGAAAATAAATTGTGCTTGAAAATTAGTTGTTTACAGAATGTGAATGTTTAAAATCAAAAAGAGGCAGAAGATATCAAGGACACGTAAAAAACTAAATTTGAAGAGAAACAACACAATAGTGGCAATTAACGATAAACAACACAATAGTGGCAATTAACGATAAACAACACAATAGTGGCAATTAACGATAAACAACACAATAGTGGCAATTAACGATAAACAACACAATAGCGGCAATTAACGATAAACAACAAAAAGACAAATGAGTCCACAAGAACTACATAGAAAATTATCCTGAGCAACATGATCCACACTAAAAAAAAAGTGGACGATTTTTGGTACTCAGATCCTGATTCATGTGTGAATGACAATCAACCAACAAGTTATAGGGTTTAGAAAAAAGAAAAGAGTGGAAAGTAATCAATGTAAGGAGACGTAAAAAAACTCAAGTCAAAGAGAAACTATCAATGCCATGGCAATTAACAATAAATGACAAAAAAGGCAAATTAGTCCACAAGCATTACAAACAAAAGTCTGAATAACATGAACCACACCCATAAAATTGTGGACCATTGGACATAAAACAACCATCCATCATCTTAAAATAAATATTTATTTCTTTTATCCCTAGGAAAACAGGAAAAGAGAGTTATGAATACCTAGGAAAATATTGGGAATGTAAAAAGTCTCCAGGATTTAATAAAATGTCTTTTGTGAAGCTATGGTGAACAGTAACAGGAAACCAGTAAAATTGCAGACAGAAAAGGCCCAGTAGCTACAAAATTTAGACCCCTAGCTTTATAAAGATGTGCACATTGTGAGATAAAGGAGCAAAACATTATAAATTTGATCTCTTCAGAAGATTTGACAAGACGGAAACTTTTCTTATTGTCCGAAATTTGTGATCTAATGTGTCAAGACCTACATTTCAGAAAAGGTTGTACGATTAAGGATCCTATCGAAATCCTTTAAAACTATACAATGAAATATTACCATTCGTACAATCATTTTGAAACACAGGCCTTGAATACTAATGATATTGAGGCATTCTTTCTTTTCCCACCATATTTTTTTTAGTCACTTATACAACCTTTTTATTTTGGGGCCAATAATGGACCTTCAGGCCCGTACTCCTTTCACATCATGTATTATTGAAAAAAAACATTTGTTTTATGGAAGTTTTGCTCATGAGTTCCTCCTTTCTGATGAAAGAATATTGGATATTTAAATTCCAATGGTAAATTTATATTTCAGGAATGGATTTTGTACGTAGATATAGGATAATTGGAGAAAATTTCACAAATTTAGAGTAGTAAAAACACATTTATTGTAATGTTGTGGGTTTAAAAAAGAAATTTCAGAAATTTGTGATAAAGTAGCTTGTTTTGTAATAAGTGACATAGATGAAACTTACACAATGGCTTTACAGAATTCAACCAAACTTACATAGATTTTTTCTCCTGGAAATGAAGTTGTACACTTGCTATTATTTTTTATCCGATTCTAAAACATGGACTCAGCTATTTCTTCTTGTATTATTTGAAGACTGACACATTTTTATATAGGTTCTTCGGAAAGTCTTCTTAGCTATTGTCTTTCAGTGCTATTTGAATTGCAATTAATTGTTTCCTAATTTGTCACCCACCATAAGTATATATGTAGACATGCTAGGTATCTTACATGTACATACTCATATAGTATATGACATTGAACAGTGAATGTAGATATCAGGCTGGATGGAACCAAATATCATTCTTTCATCTCAATCATTCAGAGATGGATAGGGAAATCAGGATATGGTCAAAAGTCAGCTTTCCACACATGTTAGGGGGCTTGAACCAGTCAAATATAACAGAAAATCTGGGTCGATGATGTCAGTAATTTCCCTGCCAATGATAGATCATATATTACATGTTAGGTGTTCAAAAACATTTTTTTTGCGGAAAATATCTTCCAGAATTGGTTGTAGGGGAATGGGTCACCAGACTTCAGTTTTCATTTGAAATTAGAAAGATATCCTGAACAACTATATCAAATTTTATTAATGATGGGGTAAAAAATAATTCCTCTCCGACCCCACTCCCTCTATACAATTATTTTTGGAACATCCCTCATGTTTGTTGGCTCACGTAGTTGGTATGCTGAGACAGTATTATCTCAGCCCATAGCAAAATTGTGATAATATTAAACTAAAATTAATATTATTATAGTCCTAATGTGATTCACAAATATTCTCATGTGTGAAGTAGTGCTGAATGAATTGTTCTCTCTATGTATCATTTACTTGTTTAAATATTATGTCTATTAACCTTGTTTTATATGTATGTATGTGTGTGGTCATTATCAAATGTTTGTTGACTTAGATATACACGAGTGTGTTTTCTCCCACAACAATATCAATAGGATTTTATGCAATTACTGGTATATGTTGACATGTGTTATTGTGTTTATGCACCTGTGTCCGTTTGTGATTTTATATATGTATATAGTTATATTTACAGTTTTGCTACATTTTTTTCTGTTCGATATGGTAATTTTTTCTGTAGACTGGCAATATTTATTTCATTGTTGAAATTAGCAGGATCCAATAACTACTGTAGTAGTTCTTTACTCTAATAAGTGGGTCCATCCGTGATGAAAATAACTCTTTATAAATCTTGTGTGTTTGAAGGTCTTTTCTGAATTTACCTTCAACATGATTCACAATCCCTAAAAATATGGAAACCACAGATGTATAAGTACCAAAACTTATAAAGAGCTATATAATCAAAGGGAAGTAAAAATTAGTCAAATTCGTCGAAGATCAACTTTGCCTGAAGGAGTCGAAAACCTTAGTTTCGGTATAATTTCTTAATTTATCAACTGAGAATTTAAGATAAATTTGTTAAAAACTATGGCAGCACTGAATCGCTGACATTTAAGCTGATGATACTCTCTGAACTAACAGTCCACCAGCAGTGGTATTAACCCAGTGCTATTAAATGAAAATAACACTTGATCCTTCATTGTATGTCAAGAATGTGTAAAGGGAGACAACTGTTGTAACAGCAAATTATAATGTTGTATGAAATAGAAAGTTTGATGGGATATTACTAACTGAATCAGTTTATAAATTTATGTAATATCTTAATGACAACTTTTATACATACAATATTGTGTGAACAGCATTCTTATCATAAACTTAAATTCTAGTAGAATCTTTTTTATGTTTTTTGTCCAAATTTTGAGATTTGAGATTTCACCACTCTTTAGTATTTCCATTGTTTTGCGTCAATGGTTGTAATAAAATTTGATAATTTTGCATTCTCAATATTTCTGTAACTTTGATAATGTTGCATTGACTTTAAAAGTTATTTGGCATACACAAAAATTACTAACCTTTTAAGATTTTCAGTCTGACTTAGTGCATTAAGTTGTTGTGTAGGACTTTAAACACCCCCAACTAATATCATGATTTAGTCAGAAATAGTAGATTTAGTTATTAATTTTATTAATATCCGATAATAGTGTGAGTATAACCTCAAAGGCTAATAAATTTATATAATCTTTATTTAAATTGTATCTTTATGGTAACTAATTTTCTGTGAAAAACAGTGCAAAGAAGTTGTTTTAATTATGAAAACTGATGATTGACCTTATTTATAGGTTGTTAACAAGTTTTAAAATAGAACAGATATAACTATGTGTCAGTTGCAAATGAAATATAACCTTGTGGTGTAAATAAAAGATCGCAATATGTAAAAATTGGCGCAAATGCAATGTGCCCGTCTTTAAGTTTAACTTGCTCTGTACCAAGTATAATATCGAAGGACCATTTAATGGCATTAGTTATATGGCATTTCTACTTAAAATAAAAAAAAAAATCATAATGTATAACTCTATCTCATCTTAATTAAAAAATAATTTGAAAATAATAAATTATAATTCATCCTCAAAATTACCTATACTCAAATTGATTCTGTCTGTGTACCCAAGAATAAATAATATATTTTCACATTTCTATGCCCAGTCAACAATACTAATAATGAATCCACAGTAACTGACCATTGTAGTAATGGAATATGATATTCATTCCTGTGGAACCAGTTGTGAAGGACCACCTTTGCCACCAAAATGTAATGTACTTGATCTCTCAAAACATTTTTTTTTCTGGAATCATGGAAAATGATGACTGTGTAGGTTTGTTGTCCATAAATAGGATGTATTTTGAATGTAAAGACTGGTTCCAATTTATGTATCTAATGTTTTTGAGTTGTAGTTTCCACATGATTTGATGCTTGTTTTCAATATTATTTTACAAACTGCCCTTGCACATGTATAACACTTTTGTTTTTACGTCTATTTTCTATTGCATATCATTTTAAATTCTGTTAATTCCTGTTAAATAAATTTACGCTGTTATAATGCTATAGAAATATAGACAAATGTTACACCTCAGTTTGTTTTGTGTTTTTTTTTAATTACACTCAGTTTTAATCTCATATGGTGAAAGTCTACTGGTAAGCACTTTATTTTGCTTTTTTGATTTTCATATCATTGAAATAAGGACTTGAATAATTGTCCATCCACGAGATAACAGAGACAATTTAATGTAAATTCAGAAAATTTGTGTGCATTTATTTGTCACCTTACTCGTAAACATTATTCTGACTCTGAGCAGACTTGTCGTGCTCTTACTCCTTAATGCTGCATGCTTAGCTGAGATAAAACAAATACAAATTTTGAAGTCTTTGATTTGACCAGGCCAGAGATGTGTCTCTTAAGGCACAAAAGCCTGGCTAATAAAACAATATCAGAAAATTGTTAGTAATATGTGCAAAACGTACTGAACAATGTTGTACTATACAATAGGTTCATTGTAATAGTGAGAAATGGGGTTGGCAGGTGACCTGACATCTCATATAAAAATACCTGTGACCATTGATACAGGTTTATTGTTAAATATGAAACCTGTCAAATTTGCTTTAAAGTGACCTGGTAACCTAATGCAAACTTTAAACTTGACCTTGTGACCAAAGATGGTACCCTACTTGAGTGGCTATTTGCCATAGGTTTATGATAATGGACCTAAATGTAATACATGAAATCTTTGTAAAAGTGACGTGAATACTGCTGAATGGCATTGTATTATTCAAGATTACTGTTGGTGTTAAACAACATTGGTATATTACTAAATAAACATCTAGATAAGGATTGCCAATGAGACGACTACACACTAAAGACCAAAGGACCTGGAATGTTAATAACTATAGGTAGTTGTACGACCATCAACAATGAGCAAAATCCAAACTATATACCTTGTAAGATATAGGATAACAAAATGTGAAACAAGGGGAAATTATTGTGAGTGGTTAATTTGCTAATATCCCAATTATGATAAAAACAAAACTAGTGGCTCTAAAGAGCCTGTGTCACTCACATTGGTCTATGTGGATATTCAACAAAGGACACACTCCAACATTGTAGACGAGAATGAATTCATGACAAAAATCTCTGTTTTGTTGATCTTGTATTGCTGCATTTATTCTGTTTAGTTTCTATCTTCTTTAGTTTTTGCCCAAAACAAAAAGAGGGTAAAAAAAATCCTCATTTAAGGGCAATCACTCCTATAAAGAGTGACAGTCTACTAACTATATCGGCAAAATTTGACTTGCTAGTAGATCTTGCCTTGCTGATCATTTATTAAAATTTTTATCATATAGGGCAAAACACAAAAAAAATGGTAAAAATCGTCATTAAAGGGCAATAACTCCAATAAGGATGTGTCGTACGATTTCCGCCATATTGTCTTAATTGTAGATCTTGTCTTGCTGATCATTTTTGCTTATACATGTATAAGTTTCTATCTATCTATTATAATTTTTAAGATACCAGGCAAAAATTCAAAATATTGGTAAAAATCGTCATCAAAAGGCAATAACTCCAATAAGGAGTCGACTGACGAGACTTATTTGTAGAACTTGTCTTGCTGATCATTTTTGCAGTTTAAAGTTTCTCTCTATCTATTATAGTTTTCAAGATAATAAGGCAAGAATGAAAAAAAAATGGTAAAATTTGTCATCTAAGGGCAATAACTCTTATAAAAAGTTGTCTGACAACTGGTAGAGTTGACATTCTGAACATTCTGAACATTTTTGCCCCAGTCAGATTTTCTCTATATATTCGTAACGGTTTTCAAAATAATAGACAAAACTTGCATTTTACCCCTATGTTCTATTTGGTTGGCAGCTGGGGTCATCGGACACATTTTTTAAACTAGATACCCCAATGATGATTGTGGCCAAGTTTGGTTTAATTTGGTCTAGTAGTTTCAGAGAAGAAGATTTTTGTAAAAGTTAACAGTCAACGACGAGGGACGCTAAGTGATGAGTAAAGCTCACTGGTGAGCTAAAAAGTGAATATAAAACATGGCCAACAGGTTTTGCGAATATAAACCACTTTACAATAGACCAAAAACAATCTAGATTTGTTTTAATGCTTAGAATCTATGATACATCATTAATTCAACAGAAAGGACTGCCATACAAGTAGTAAATAAGCACCCAGTTGTAAAATAATGTTCAAGCTACAACCATCATTCAAATGTTTCTGTACCATACAATGATTATTACAGTCAATTTTTCCCACAAGGATTGTTTGAAATGATTTTTTGTATAGAAATTTCAATAGGGAAAGGATTTCCACAAAACTAGCAAGTATATATTGACATTTATTTGAGTTTTTAGAATAAGCCATAAAGTTCATGGTAGTGATAGGAAGCTGCTTAATATTCAGCGCCAACTTTAATGCATATTCAGGATTAAAACGTTAATGCCATATGAATATGAACCCTGTTTAGTACTAGACTGCCATTGTGACCCAGATTTTTAAAAGAGAGGTGAAGGATACCAAAGGGACATTCAAATTCAAAAGTAAAAAATAAACTGACAATGCCATGGCTAAAAAGAATATATAGTACACAAAACACAACATAGAAAACCAGACTAAGCAATACAACCCCACCAAAAACTAAGGGGGTGATCTCCGGTGCTCCGGAAGGGTAAGCAGATCCTGCTCCACATGTGGTACTCATGGTGTTGCTCATGTTACTTAACGTGCTAGTTCACAAGGTAAACAAAGTAATATTCTGTAATATTATGCCACCCTACACACACACACATTCAACTGACTTCTAACAAACATCACATTAACTTGGTGGAGAAGCCAGGGATCAAAACCAACCGCCTCCCACACAATCAACTGACTCCTAACAAACATCACATTAACTTGGTGGAGAGGCCAGCCAGGGATCAAAACCCACGGCCTCCCACACAATCACCTGACTCCTAACAAACATCATATTATCTTGGTGGAAAGGCCAGCCAGGGATCAAAACCCACGGCCTCCCACACAATCAACTGACTCCTAACAAACATCACATTAACTTGGTGGAGAGGCCAGCCAGGGATCAAAACCCACGGCCTCCCACACAATCAACTGACTCCTAACAAACATCACATTATCTTGGTGGAGAAGCCAGCCAGGGATCAAAACCAACGGCCTCCCACACAATCAACTGACTCCTAACAAACATCACATTAACTTGGTGGAGTAGCCAGCCAGGAATCACAACCAACGACCTCCCACACAATCAACTGACTCCTAACAAACATCACATTAACTTGGTGGAGAGGCCAGCCAGGGATCAAAACCAACGGCCTCCCACACAATCAACTGACTCCTAACAAACATCACATTAACTTGGTGGAGAAGCCAGCCAGGGATCAAAACCAACAGCCTCCCACACATTTAGGCAAGCAGGCTATCACACGACCCTGAGGAAGTTCATAAAGTAAAGACTAAATCTATATTGGTAATTCATTAATCATTCGACTACATAGACATAAATTTGGCCTAAAAAAGGGGTCCCAGCAGTAAAATATTAGAAAAATGTACATTTTGTACCTAAAAAAATCTACAATCCCAACCCCAACCCCCCCACTCTCCACGGGAAATTGAAAAATGTATATGTAATTCAAACAGAGCAAAACATTAAATCTTTTGGATTTTTATTAGAGTGTCTCCATATATATTATTTATAACAAAAATTATAATAAGAAAAATAAATAACAAAATATTCATTACCATTGTCATATAGTTTCACAACTATTCATGCATAAACACAATATTTACCATTTAATGTACAACCAATTTTTAGAATGGTAAATTCTTTTCAAATTACTATAACAAGAGCATTATAAATTTCATCCAAATCAAAACTGCTCAAACAGAATTGATGTTAATCTATTTTAGACGACAAGCCACTTATTAATCAGTTTTGTTTTCATGCATGAATTTGGATTGGGTTTACAGAACAGAAAATAATGGCCAAATAATATAATGAATAGAGAAGATGAGCAAACAAATTAAATAGAGAATTAATTGGGAGCGAAAGTATAAAGAATAATTGTGGAAAATAAAAGAATTAGGTAATACAATACTTAAAACAGAACAATATACAGAAACAAGAAATCATATACTGTATAGTCAGAAATTATTGCGAGTTTTTTATTATTGCGACAAACGCGACAGAGTTGTAAACGCAATAATTTAAACTCGCATTTTGAAATATTTTATCTGAACTAAACAGGATTTTTCTCAAAATCGTAAAAATTAAAATCGCATTTAAGTCTAAAATGACAAAATCGCAATAATAAATGCACGCAATAATTTCTGAATTTACAGTAATTGCAGATTTAATTGCATACACATGAGTATTTGACAGAATAAATGTTATTTTTAAAGATAAAAGAAAACTGCCTTAAGGATGTACTTAGGTGAGGTTTTGGAATAAGTGTCAAATATTGACTCCTCAGTGTTTTTCAATACGATACAAGGTAAAATATTTTGCCCCATAACACCTATTTATCTATTAACATAAGACTTAATAGCTCATAAACGGTCATTTGACAAAATTTAAGCAGATTCTTGATTTTCTTTCTTTTAATTTGAGACCAAAATAATACCAATGCAAATATAAGGTAAAAGTCAGAGTCAGCCTTTTACCGCCATATTTTATAAATCAAATATCTCGAAAAGGAGCTCCATGACCTATCAATATTTTTAGCTTATTTTGATCCTTAACTAATACTCTTCCAGCTTAAAGTATCAATTTTGAATTCTTGATTTATTTAATTTTACCTTCGATCACCTATTAAAGTACATCCTTAATCATTTTTAAATACAGAAATTAAGGATCCCCATCCAGACCCTCGTGCATCAGGCAATTTTTTCAATTAAAGTAGTTTTTCTTTATAAAAGTGATCCATGCTGTTTTAACAGAAGAAGAAAATACCCAAGATCCTTAATCTCCTTTCATTCAGTTTGTTTATTGGTGTTTAATGACACATTCAGTGACCATGGCTATATCATGGTAGCCATTTTTTATTGTACCTGGAACAAACCACTGACCTTATATGGGAAAACTGAAAATCCTTGTCAATTATCTTGGTCAAAGTTGTAGACATTTTGCTATGAGTGAGGTTTGAACTCACAATCTGAGGCTAGTGATCACTGTAGTTGAACTTCTTAGACCACCCCCCTTTTATTTAGCATTAGATTGAAACAATAACAGTAGTTAAAGAACATACTTATCTTTAAAACTTAAATAGCTTAAGGCAACATGACTTATTTACAATGACCTTGACACACTTTAAATACCCCTGATAGAATATAAGTATATATGTATATATATGTTTAAAAAAAAAAATTATATATATACATCATGGCAGATCTGATGAAAATTTATAAATAACAAACAGAATTGTGGTTAAATTAATCATCACTTTGTAATGTACGATTATTTTATGAATTTGATTCATAAACCTTAATTAATTTGCAAAAAAACTTAATGTTTTGAGGGCAAAATATTTAGTTTTTAAATTTTTGATTTTTGCACTATAAGTTTAGTTTTTAAATTTTTGATTTTTGCAATATAAGTAATCTCATTTGGTATATCATTAAATTAAATTATATAAATCAAACTTAAAAATTAGTTTGTAACAATTTTAAAACATTATTTATTTTAAATATAAAATAAAATGATAAATAGTATGATGTGTCATGTTGCTTTATCATTACAACAAGAAATAAAAATAAGATCTTCGTCAATAACATTATATTAAAACAGTAACATTGCAATCTTATATACAGCACCAAAGATACATCCATTACCACAGAAGCAAAGCAATTGCTGACTTGATATTAGAAAGAGGGGGGCGTAGAATGAAATCTTTCGCCGTGCGGATCAAGGCAAACATTTTTTTTGGACCTTTTTTTTTGCTAAAAAACATAAAATAATTATGAAATGCACTAATTGCCATATTCAATACAATATTAGCAGATTACCATAGTTTTTTTTTTTTTTTTTTGAAAAGGGGGGGTGTACGCCCATTACGCCCTCACCTGGACCCGCCCCTGGACTTATCAATGATATATATGTAACATTATTCTATTAGTACTTTACAAACTGTGATTTACTTCTTGTTCTAATAATTGAGTTGTTCCCCTTTTATACCTGTCTGATATGACTTGTGTAAATCCCATATTACTTTAGTCAGTTTTATGTATGAGAATATAAGTGAACACTCAGCTTGCCAAGATTGTCCTTCTTAATTATCGCCATTTAACAGCCCAAAGAACATTCATGTTTTGCATGTAAAGAAATGATATGTAAAAAAATAGAACAAGAGGTGTAACTTTTGAGGTGAAAATACAAAATTACTTTTTAAGCAATTAAAGTAAAAAAAAAACAAAAGTTTTGTGGTATGATTGCCAATAAGACAACATCAGATGTTTACTTCTGTAACCACATTGGTTAAAACTTATTTTGAAATCACAATTATACATTTAAAAAAAAAATCTGTAGAACTGAAATATACATATAATCAAATGTGTATTTTGAATTTAAATTACTTTCATTCACTGAGAAAGTTAAAATGTAAACTGCAAACCCTGGAGTGACCACACTGATACCATAACTGAATGTTATTTTTTAAAACAACTTGAATAGAAACAGCTTTACAGAAGTATAAGATTTGAGCTTTAAATATTTCAAGTTCTCACAGACCTATGGTCCAGGTGAGCAAATAAAATTTTCAGTGCTTCAAATAGTATAATCCCATATGATATTTCCTTCATTTTAATAATAAACTTTTATCTGTGTAATTTTGAACGGATAAACCATAAATCCCTATCAGACCGAATTTTGAAAATAGACAACAATATATTTCCAGACAATTTTATATGCCATTGATAAGATTAATCCAAATTTATCAGACTGCATACCAATAAATAAAATGTTAAATATTGAAATTTCATAGAACCTTTCATACTTCCAACATCAAAACAGTTTTTAATCCAATAATCATGACTTTATTGCTCAGATTAGATAAAAAACAGGATGTTTTTCTGGGGATTATTTTTGAAAAATTTAAGTACTTCCTAAAGAATTAATTTTTTTCAATTTTGTATATCATAGAGCAAAAACATTAATCTTTAAACATTCAGAAAAGTACATAGCACAAAGTTTGTTTTTAAAATTACTGTAAATTCAGAAATTATTGTGTGCATTTATTATTGCGATTTTTGAAAAATGGACAAAAATGCGAGATTAATTCTTGCGATTTTAGGAAAATCTGCATACAGATATATGTATCAAATATCAGAATGAGAGTTCTTGTTATCATTCACATTAATAAAAACCTCGCAATAATTTCTGAATTTACAGAAATAAGTTAACACGTAAACAATAAACTGAACAATTTTCATATCTTGAATCCCTCAAAATGAACTGCAAAATTTTTTTTGTGATAACATTATAATTTAGAAAGTGACGTTTATCGTCACCCAATTGTTTTTTTATTGTGACTATAAATCATTTTCAATCTCATGCCTATGAATATAGCCTAAAATAGCCTAAAATAGCCTGAAATAATGTACTTATAATGGTCCTCCCTGAACTATTAGATATATACCCTTGGACCTCAGATATTTTAACAGGTACTATGAAATTCACAACCTATGCAAGAAAATTCCATGGTCCATTACAAACATGTACAGAACACTAACTAGAGAAACATACAACCATCTGAATTAGAATTTTACATTCTGTGAATGTGGACCTCTATTGTCTTCATTCTGGAAAATTAATCTTATGTTTAACCAAATAATAGCTGTTCTCCTAAAAGCTTAACCTCTACATTTCTTCAATTTGAAGTTCATTACCTCCCTTTTTGTTGGTTGTAAATACAACAAAATATTGCATCAAAACAAAGTAAAGTGGAAAATATTTAAAAGTGTAAATTTTTGCTCATTTTATTAAAATAAGTCATGAAAGTCTCTATCTCTCATAAATTGTTCTCGAAGAAAGATCAGAACCATAAACAAGAAATATTTAAAACATAAACCTTGGGAAAAGTTTTTTTAAAACTCTTTGCAGTGTTTCTGTGCAGTGAAGAACATATAAAGAGGATTTTCAAATCTTCAAATCAAAACCAAACACTTGATTCTCCTACATTTGCATCTGTATACTGATGTTATGAAATTCTACGTAACAAGAGAAAAATAGTTCTACACAATGCTATACAAAACATCTATACAACTAATGAATTTTAGGTTAAAATTAAACAATGTGACATTATATAAATAACACATAGCTGAGAGGGTGATAGAGCATATTGTTACCCCGAGAAAACATTGTCAACTGAGGCGAAGCCAAGGTTGACAATGTCTTTTCGAGGGGTAACAATCTGCTCTATCACCCTCTCAGATATGTGTTATTTAATTTATTATACTGAATGTTCTGTTATTACTGTCTATTAATTTTCAAATTCAAAGTAATAAACTATGATGTCTTGTACATAACAATCATCCGGATTTATTAAAGCGCAAACTTGAGCAAGCGTCTCTGTGAAGGGTAATAGAGTATTTGCCATGGGATAGAGTAAATTGTCTCCCTCGTATTAACCAATCAAAATCTGGCATTTTGACGTGAAGTATAATAATAAATCTTATATTGCATTTAAAAAGAATGAGTCTATTTCAGCCTCATTTTGAACTAAGCAGGAGCTATGCAGTGAGCGTAAGGTGAATATTTCCCTTTATACAATTGTAATTTTGGATATAATCCCCTCTATTCATGTGGCAATATTTAAGCAATTTTTATAATAGTAAAATTCCTTTCACCAGTTCCATGGGAACCAGCTATTTCCTTGAGATTGTTTATCCTCACAACTGTCTGTTGATTTCTCACTTAAATTGCTCATTTCAATATTTGTGATGTTATCTTGTCTCGATTTAACTATTTTTCCTCCTGCAAAACCTATAAATAAATAAAGAATTATAATTAATAAAGTAAATTATATTTTTATAAGGTTGTTACACAGTACTAAAAAGTAAAATAACAAAAATACTGAACTCCAAGGAAAATTCAAAATGGTAAGTCCCTTATCAAATGGCAAAATCAAAAGCTGAAACACATCAAACTAATGGAAAACAACTGTCATATTCCTGACTTGGTACAGGCATTACCTTATGTAGAAAATGGTGGATTGAACCTGGTTTTATAGCTAATATACTCATGATCAGTAGACTGTGGAAAATATAGAGCTCCCAGTCATAAAACTTTACTCTGTACTTGGAGTACAAAATATGTGCTTGAAATGCAAAATCAAGTATTTTGATGATTGATTTCTGAGTGTGAGTATGATAATCAAACTACAAATCTTTATGACTACAAGATATGGCCATTGTTGAAACAGTATATTGATATCTTGATTTCTGTAGTTTTTTTGTCTTATATTGCTGTCTCCTTGACATATACCTTACATCTCCTTTTATCCATCAACTACTCATAACTATTGATTGGATTTTTTAAGAGTCATTCTAATATAACTTTCTTCTTTCGCTTTGGAAACAATGCCATGTTCTAATTGGACATTTGTGTTGGTGTATCGCGCTAGGAAATTAAATAAAATCATTCTAAAAGTAAGATTACATGTATCTGTTCATTTTTTATCGTGAAACGGTTGATTTTCTATATTTTGGGGTCTCATAAAATTATAATGGCTGCCATTCGAACCTGTATTTGTAGGGGGCCAACTTCGAAGTACAAAAGTTCTAAATTTTGCTATTAGAATCGAAATAATTCTATCATGCCATGCTCTATACTCATTTTGAAATGGGTAGGCATTATATTTGTCAACATTTTACACCTCGCTAACGCGCAGTATATAAAATATTGACAAATATAATGCCTACCATGTTAAAATGAGCATAGAGCATGGCATGAAAGAATTATTTCTTAAATATAAGTAGTTTTAGATGATTCACTTCATTCTAAGTGTTATCATTCTTAATGATACCAGCAATCACTCTGTTATTGTTATCACTCTAAATCACCAGCAATCACTCTGTTATTGTTATCACTCTAAATCACCAGCAATCACTCTGTTATTGTTATCACTCTAAATCACCAGCAATCAATCTGTTATTGTTATCACTCTAAATCACCAGTAATCACTCTGTTATTGTTATCACTCTAAATCACCAGCAATCACCCTGATACATGTATTGTTATCACTCTAAATCACCAGCAATCATCCTGATACATGTATTGTTATCACTCTAAATCATCAGCAATAACCCTGATATTGTTAACACTCTAAATCACCAACAATCACATTGATATCGCTATCACTCTAAATCACTAGCAATCATCCTGTTCTAAAAGAGAGGCGAGAGAAACCAAAGGAACATCCAAACATATAAGTCGAAAATAAACCGACAACACCATGGCTAAAAAAGAAAAGACCAACAGACATCAGTACACAAAACACAACATAGAAAATTGACGACTGAGCAACACGAACCCCACCAAAAACTTGGGGTGATCTCAGGTGCTCCAGAATGTTTAGCAGATCCTTTCTAAAGTGATTCACTCAATACCAGCCAATTTTTAACAGAATCAACTTGTGTGTACAGAAGGAAAAGAAAGAGTAATGGATGTATGAACATTTGTCAGCAATCGCTCCAATGTCAGATGGCCTTTTCAGGACTTGCTGGGGCTGTGCTTGACCCCAGCAAGTCCAAAATATGTTGCCAGATTTCAGATCGATCTGGAACTAGATGAACATATATGAAATACACATAGATTCTACAACTGTCTCAAGTAAATTACTGTATTAGCATGTTATATATTTTTTAGATTGCCACTTCCTACAGCCCTTGTCACCCCTCCTATCTTAGCTACAGCTACTTATCCTACAAGACCAACAACTACTTACCTTTGATGCCACCTCCTACAGCCCTTGCAATCCCTCCTATCGTAGCTCCAGCCTCTAATCCTACAGGACCAGCCACTACTTACCTGCAATGTCATCTCCTACAGCCCTCCCCACCCCTCCTGTCTTAGCTCCAGCTACTAATCCTCCAGGACCAGCCACTACTTACCTGCAATGCCACCTCCTACAGCCCCTACCACACCTCCTATTTCAGCTACAGCTACTAATCCTACAGGACCAGCAACATCTTAACTGCAATGCCAGATCCTACAGCCCTTGTCACCCCTCCTATCTTAGCTACAGCTACTTATCCTACAAGACCAACAACTACTTACCTTTGATGCCACCTCCTACAGCCCTTGCAATCCCTCCTATCGTAGCTCCAGCCTCTAATCCTACAGGACCAGCCACTACTTACCTGCAATGTCATCTCCTACAGCCCTCCCCACCCCTCCTGTCTTAGCTCCAGCTACTAATCCTCCAGGACCAGCCACTACTTACCTGCAATGCCACCTCCTACAGCCCCTACCACACCTCCTATTTCAGCTACAGCTACTAATCCTACAGGACCAGCAACATCTTAACTGCAATGCCAGATCCTACAGCCCTTGTCACCCCTCCTATCTTAGCTACAGCTACTTATCCTACAAGACCAACAACTACTTACCTTTGATGCCACCTCCTACAGCCCTTGCAATCCCTCCTATCGTAGCTCCAGCCTCTAATCCTACAGGACCAGCCACTACTTACCTGCAATGTCATCTCCTACAGCCCTCCCCACCCCTCCTGTCTTAGCTCCAGCTACTAATCCTCCAGGACCAGCCACTACTTACCTGCAATGCCACCTCCTACAGCCCCTACCACACCTCCTATTTCAGCTACAGCTACTAATCCTACAGGACCAGCAACATCTTAACTGCAATGCCAGATCCTACAGCACTTGGCACCCCTCCTATCTTAGATCCAGCTACTAATCCTACAGGACCAGCCACCACTTACCTGCAATGCCACCTCCTACAGCCCCTGCCACACCTCCTATTTTAGCTCCAGCCACTAATCCTACAGGACCGGCCATTATTGTACCAATCACAGCACCAGCTATGGGGAAGATGGCTGCCTTGTATTTTGAAGACTAAAAATAGATAAAAACATTAGAAATTGATAGATATTTTGCCTATAAATTTAATTTGTAGTTACATAAAAGGTGGTAATTTATCTAAACTTTAAGATGATTTTCATGAGACCTATAAAATGTAGTTGGACATCAAATAATTCCCATGAAAAACTTAACATGCTTAACCTGATTTTAAACATGAAAGTATTTTTAAAGCATGTATTTACATACCACATTTCCTTATTTTTATATTGTACCTTTTTTATGTTTGTAATGTAAGCAAAGCCATCATTTTACCTGGCCAAGTGATCGTGTCCCGTCGTTAATACTTGATGAACAGTTTCTATATTAACCATTTTAACTGACGAAGTGATCGTGTCCCCTCATTAATACTTTGATGAACAGTTTCTATATAAATCATTTTACCTGGCCAAGTGATCGTGTCCCGTCATTAGTACTTTGATGAACAGTTTCTATATTAATCATTTTACCTGTCCAAGTGATCATGTCCCGTCGTTAATACTTTGATGAACAGTTTCTATATTAACCATTTTACCTGGCCAAGTGATCATGTCCCCTCGTTAATACTTTGATGGACAGTTTCTATATTAATCATTTTACCTGTCCAAGTGATCGTGTCCCCTCATTAATACTTTGATGAACAGTTTCTATATTAACCATTTTAACTGGCGAAGTGATTGTGTCCCCTCATTAATACTTTGATGAACAGTTTCAATATAAATCATTTTACCTGGGCAAGTGATCGTGTCCCCTCGTTAATACTTTGATGGACAGTTTCTATATTAATCATTTTACCTGTCCAAGTGATCATGTCCCGTAGTTAATACTTTGATGAACAGTTTCATATTAACCATTTTAACTGGCCAAGTGATCGTGTCCCCTCCTCGTTAATACTTTGATGAGCAGTTTCTATATCAGCCATTTTACCTGGCCAAGTGATTGTGTCCCCTCGTTAATACTTTGATGAACAGTTTCTATATTAACCATTTTACCTGGCCAAGTGATCGTGTCCCCTCATTAATACTTTGATGAACAGTTTCTATATTAACCATTTTACCTGGCCAAGTGATTGTGTCCCCTTGTTCATACTTTGATGAGCAGTTTCTATATTAACCATTTTACCTGGCCAAGTGATTGTGTCTACTCGTTAATACTTTGATGAACAGTTTCTATATTAACCATTTTACCTGGCCAAGTGATCGTGTCCCCTCGTTAATACTTTGATGAACAGTTTCAATATAAATCATTTTACCTGGCCAAGTGATCGTGTTCCCTCGTTAATACTTTGATGGACAGTTTCTATATTAATCATTTAATCTGTCCAAGTGATCGTGTCCCCTCGTTAATACTTTGATGAACAGTTTCTATATTAACCATTTTACCTGTCCAAGTGATCGTGTCCCCTCATTAATACTTTGATGAACAGTTTCTATATTAACCATTTTACCTGGCCAAGTGATCGTGTCCCCTCGTTAATACTTTGATGGACAGTTTCTATATTAATCATTTTACCTGTCCAAGTGATGGTGTCCCCTCATTAATACTTTGATGAACAGTTTCTATATTAACCATTTTAACTGGCGAAGTGATTGTGTCCCCTCATTAATACTTTGATGAACAGTTTCAATATAAATCATTTTACCTGGGCAAGTGATCTTGTCCCCTCGTTAATACTTTGATGGACAGTTTCTATATTAATCATTTTACCTGTCCAAGTGATCATGTCCCGTCGTTAATACTTTGATGAACAGTTTCATATTAACCATTTTACCTGGCCAAGTGATCGTGTCCCCTCGTTAATACTTTGATGAACAGTTTCTATATTAACCATTTTACCTGGCCAAGTGATCGTGTCCCCTCGTTAATACTTTGATGAGCTGTTTCTATAGTAACCATTTTACCTGGCCAAGTGATCGTGTCCCCTCGTTAATACTTTGATGAGCTGTTTCTATATTAACCATTTTACCTGGCCAAGTGATCGTGTCCCCTCGTTAATACTTTGATTAGCTGTTTCTATATTAACCATTTGACCTGGCCAAGTGATCGTGTCCCCTCGTTAATACTTTGATGAACAGTTTCTATATTAACCATTTTACCTGGCCAAGTGATCGTGTCCCCTCGTTAATACTTTGATGAACAGTTTCTATATTAACCATTTTACCTGGCCAAGTGATCGTGTCCCCTCTTTAATACTTTGATGAACAGTTTCTATATTAACCATTTTACCTGGCCAAGTGATCGTGTCCCCTCTTTAATACTTTGATGAACAGTTTCTATATTAACCATTTTACCTGGCCAAGTGATCGTGTCCCCTTGTTAATACTTTGATGAACAGTTTCTATATTAACCATTTTACCTGGCCAAGTGATTGTGTCCCCTCGTTAATACTTTGATGAGCAGTTTCTATATTAATCATTTAACCTGTCCAAGTGATCGTGTCCCCTCGTTAATACTTTGATGAAAAGTTTCTATATTAACCATTTTACCTGTCCAAGTGATCGTGTCCCCTCGTTAATACTTTGATGAACAGTTTCTATATTAACCATTTTACCTGGCCAAGTGATCGTGTCCCCTCGTTAATACTTTGATGAACAGTTTCTATATTAACCATTTTACCTGGCCAAGTGATCGTGTCCCCTCGTTAATACTTTGATGAACAGTTTCTATATTAACCATTTTACCTGGCCAAGTGATCGTGTCCCCTCGTTAATACTTTGATGAGCTGTTTCTATAGTAATCATTTTACCTGGCCAAGTGATCGTGTCCCCTCGTTAATACTTTGATGAGCTGTTTCTATAGTAACCATTTTACCTGGCCAAGTGATCGTGTCCCCTCGTTAATACTTTGATGAGCTGTTTCTATAGTAACCATTTTACCTGGCCAAGTGATCGTGTCCCCTCGTTAATACTTTGATGAACAGTTTCTATATTAACCATTTTACCTTGCCAAGTGATCGTGTCCCCTCGTTAATACTTTGATGAACAGTTTCTATATTAACCATTTTACCTGGCCAAGTGATCGTGTCCCCTCGTTAATACTTTGATGAACAGTTTTTATATTAACCATTTTACCTGGCCAAGTAATCGTGTCCCTTCTTTAATACTTTGATGAACAGTTTCTATATGAACCATTTTACCTGGCCAAGTGATTGTGTCCCCTCGTTAATACTTTGATGAACAGTTTCTATATTAACCATTTTACCTGGCCAAGTGATCGTGTCCCCTCGTTAATACTTTGATGAACAGTTTCTATATTAACCATTTTACCTGGCCAAGTGATTGTGTCCCCTTGTTCATACTTTGATGAGCAGTTTCTATATTAACCATTTTACCTGGCCAAGTGATTGTGTCTACTCGTTAATACTTTGATGAACAGTTTCTATATTAACCATTTTACCTGGCCAAGTGATCGTGTCCCCTCGTTAATACTTTGATGAACAGTTTTAATATAAATCATTTTACCTGGCCAAGTGATCGTGTTCCCTCGTTAATACTTTGATGGACAGTTTCTATATTAATCATTTAATCTGTCCAAGTGATCGTGTCCCCTCGTTAATACTTTGATGAACAGTTTCTATATTAACCATTTTACCTGTCCAAGTGATCGTGTCCCCTCATTAATACTTTGATGAACAGTTTCTATATTAACCATTTTACCTGGCCAAGTGATCGTGTCCCCTCGTTAATACTTTGATGGACAGTTTCTATATTAATCATTTTACCTGTCCAAGTGATGGTGTCCCCTCATTAATACTTTGATGAACAGTTTCTATATTAACCATTTTAACTGGCGAAGTGATTGTGTCCCCTCATTAATACTTTGATGAACAGTTTCAATATAAATCATTTTACCTGGGCAAGTGATCTTGTCCCCTCGTTAATACTTTGATGGACAGTTTCTATATTAATCATTTTACCTGTCCAAGTGATCATGTCCCGTCGTTAATACTTTGATGAACAGTTTCATATTAACCATTTTACCTGGCCAAGTGATCGTGTCCCCTCGTTAATACTTTGATGAACAGTTTCTATATTAACCATTTTACCTGGCCAAGTGATCGTGTCCCCTCGTTAATACTTTGATGAGCTGTTTCTATAGTAACCATTTCACCTGGCCAAGTGATCGTGTCCCCTCGTTAATACTTTGATGAGCTGTTTCTATATTAACCATTTTACCTGGCCAAGTGATCGTGTCCCCTCGTTAATACTTTGATTAGCTGTTTCTATATTAACCATTTGACCTGGCCAAGTGATCGTGTCCCCTCGTTAATACTTTGATGAACAGTTTCTATATTAACCATTTTACCTGGCCAAGTGATCGTGTCCCCTCGTTAATACTTTGATGAACAGTTTCTATATTAACCATTTTACCTGGCCAAGTGATCGTGTCCCCTCTTTAATACTTTGATGAACAGTTTCTATATTAACCATTTTACCTGGCCAAGTGATCGTGTCCCCTCTTTAATACTTTGATGAACAGTTTCTATATTAACCATTTTACCTGGCCAAGTGATCGTGTCCCCTTGTTAATACTTTGATGAACAGTTTCTATATTAACCATTTTACCTGGCCAAGTGATTGTGTCCCCTCGTTAATACTTTGATGAGCAGTTTCTATATTAATCATTTAACCTGTCCAAGTGATCGTGTCCCCTCGTTAATACTTTGATGAAAAGTTTCTATATTAACCATTTTACCTGTCCAAGTGATCGTGTCCCCTCGTTAATACTTTGATGAACAGTTTCTATATTAACCATTTTACCTGGCCAAGTGATCGTGTCCCCTCGTTAATACTTTGATGAACAGTTTCTATATTAACCATTTTACCTGGCCAAGTGATCGTGTCCCCTCGTTAATACTTTGATGAACAGTTTCTATATTAACCATTTTACCTGGCCAAGTGATCGTGTCCCCTCGTTAATACTTTGATGAGCTGTTTCTATAGTAATCATTTTACCTGGCCAAGTGATCGTGTCCCCTCGTTAATACTTTGATGAGC